CTTGATCCTGTTTGCCAACACTTTCGCCACCAACTTGTAGAAGAAACACAGTAGAGTGATTGGTCTGTAGTTGCTCAAGTTGTCTCTGTCCCCCTTTTTGTGCAACAGGATCGTAACTGCTGTCAGGAAAGCTTCGGATAGCCGCGCCGTCTTTTCGAACTCTTTGACCTCCCTCATCACAGCTGGCCCGAGGAGGTCCCAGTTGCGCTCAAAGAACTCCTTCGGCAGCCCATCTTGACCGGGGGCTTTACCCACTGGGAGCCCCTTGAGCGCCAGCTTCACCTCCTGCTCCGACCATTCTCTCCCCAACAGCTCCCGGTCTGCCTCTTGTAGTCTCCGCCTTTCATCGATCGGCCACGGCTCCTTGGTGGTCCCAGCCGGTGAGCATGTGTATGCCTCTCGGAAATGCTCAGAAGCCGCCCGCAACACCTCCTTTGCCGAGACTGCAGGTAATCACCTCAGGCTGAGTGAGACTGCAGGTAATCACCTTAGGCTGAGTGAGACTGCAGGTAATCACCTCAGGCTGAGTGAGACTGCAGGTAATCACCTCAGGCTGAGTGAGACTGCAGGTAATCACCTCAGGCTGAGTGAGACTGCAGGTAATCACCTCAGGCTGAGTGAGACTGCAGGTAATCACCTCAGGCTGAGTGAGACTGCAGGTAATCACCTCAGGCTGAGTGAGACTGCAGGTAATCACCTCAGGCTGAGTGAGACTGCAGGTAATCACCTCAGGCTGAGTGAGACTGCAGGTAATCACCTCAGGCTGAGTGAGACTGCAGGTAATCACCTCAGGCTGAGTGAGACTGCAGGTAATCACCTCAGGCTGAGTGAGACTGCAGGTAATCACCTCAGGCTGAGTGAGACTGCAGGTAATCACCTCAGGCTGAGTGAGACTGCAGGTAATCACCTCAGGCTGAGTGAGACTGCAGGTAATCACCTCAGGCTGAGTGAGACTGCAGGTAATCACCTCAGGCTGAGTGAGACTACAGGTAATCACCTCAGGCTGAGTGAGACTGCAGGTAATCACCTCAGGCTGAGTGAGACTGTAGGTAATCACCTCAGGCTGAGTGAGACTGCAGGTAATCACCTCAGGCTGAGTGAGACTGTAGGTAATCACCTCAGGCTCAGTTTTTTTTTTTTTTTTTTTTTTTCTTTTTTTTGGTGGATATAAGTATACAACGTGCATCCATACATCCGCAGTCGTAACTGTGTCTAGGAGGGCTAAATGATTCGAGAAACATTTCCCCCCTCTTCATCTCTACGGAGGTTGGAAAGCCACCCCACCATCTTCCCAAACTGCCTTGAAACCTGCCTTCCACGTCATCGAAGCTTCGCATTGGTACAATTTGCGCATGACATCCGCCTCGTCAGCTGCCAAATGACTCCAGTCACCTGTCTTTTTCGGAGCCCTCTTGCCAGCCACCCTTTTCCGAGCCCGGCTGTAGATCTTCACGTGTCTTGCGAAGCTCACCGCTATGCGCCGCAGTGCCCTTTTTGGCTGGAACCGACTGCCCCTGAAAACCGCGTTACACCTCTCTAGCCAGACTTGGTGTGCTGTGATCGAGATGAAAGCCGCCTCCGGAAAACCCGTCGACGTGCTGCTTTTCTGGAACATCATGTCTCCGAGGCTCTCCATGCACCTGCCCGGGTTCATACATCGTACTGCCCTCTTCATCACCCCCACCACTGGTTGTATCGTGGGGCAGCTGAAAAGGCAATGGTCCTGTGACTCCACCTCCCCGCAATGAACACAGCGCGCCCTCGCGCCCAGGAACGGAAGTCTCTCCCCCACCTGCAGGTTGTTGCTGTGCACTCTCAGCACCACTTCCCGTGCCCTGGCTGGGGTTGCAAGTGAGTCACGAATCTTGATGGCTCTCCTCCAGTCAATCTTTCTCCCCCTCCTTTCCTCCCACTGCAGTTGTTGTTTGGGCTGAGCAGGTGAAGGCCTCATTGCCCTTCGCAGTTGTCTTAGTTCAGCTCGTTCCCCCTTATCACAGATTGGCGAGTGCAGCAGTCGTGACCTCGGGTCGCCCAGTAAGCCACGCATCCTCCCCTCTATGACCGCCATAGGTGTGGCGATTAAATGGTCGACCGATACCACACTGGCGTACTCCAACGCAGATATGTGACTCTTCTTGTCAACTTCCGCCCGCTTTCCATATAGCACACCGTTAACCGTGTACTCCAGTGTGTAGTAGAAAAACTCCCTCGGCCTGTACGACGGTATTCGCACCAGCCGTGACTCCCTGAAAACCTCCTCTGCAGTCAGCTGAGTGAGTAACATGTCTTTCCAGCTCTGCGGCGTTGCTTCCCACGCTTTCCGGGCCCACTTTCGTTGGTCGATTCCCCCCAGCTCCTGTTCCAGAGTGGCGTCACACTTGACGGTTCTGCTGCCGTCGCGGTTTTTCTTCAGCAAGTCCCCCAAGCGAACACCCTTCAAGCAGTGCGAGCCCGCCTGATTTCCGAAGGGCGACCGTCCTCTGAAAAATATTTTCCGGTTGAATAGCAGTTGCTCCTCCTCCGCATCCCATCTGTGCGCAGGGTCGCCCATGGTCAAGATCTTTGAGTCCCAAAGGGCTTTAACAGCTGCCTTCCATCTTGTCCCTCCTCCCAACCAGTGGTTCAGAATCGAAGGGTGGGCGTAGACCGTCGCCAGGCCGAGCGGGAAACCTGCCGCCCTCTCCCATAACCAGACTCTCAACGGTTCTTGCTCCACCAGGGCCTTCCCCAGATTCTGGATCACGCTGCTGTCTATCCTATGCTTCAGATCGATCACCCCCAGGCCGCCCTCCTTTCTTTCCCGACATGACAGGTCATAGCTCCAAAGGATGAAATGTCTGTCCAGCAGTGCTTTGCCCCCGGAGATGAAGTTGTGGCAGAGTCGTTTCACCTTCGTCCAGACTTCGTGTGGCGGAGCGTATATTTGGGCCTGAAACAGCAGGATCGGCATCGCGTAGCTGTTGATAATGGTGACACGTGCAGACGTCTTGAGGTGCTTTGTTTCCCAGCAACTCAGCACCGCGCTTACACTCTCGAAAGCCTTGTCCCAAGCTGGTTCCGGCGATCCACCAGATGTAATCCAGATCCCTAACAGCCTCTCCGCTCTGTCCTTGTCTACCCAGGTGAAAGGTGAAACCAGCGGCTGCAACCTCCTCATGTTTTTCCCCAGCGGCATCAGCGATGTTTTCTCCTGATTCACCTTCAGCCCCGATATCTCCGCGAAGTCATCTAACAGCTTCTTTGCCGATACCACCTGTTCTTTCCCTCTCAGGACCAGGGTCGTGTCGTCCGCATAGCCGATGTAGGCCAGCTCTCCTTTGACCCCCCTCTTCCTGACTCCCAGTTTTCTCCTCTCGATTTCCTGGCAGAGTGGCTCTACGGCGCAGAGGAAGAGATAAGGGGCGAGAGGGCAGCCCTGCCGAACGCCCTTGTCCATTTCCACCTTGTCCCCCACCCAGCCGTTTAGCAACATCCTGGTGGCAGCGCCGTCATGAAGACCCTTCACCCATCCCGAGTATCCTGGTGGGAAGCCCATGTTCTCGAGTGTCTTGAACAGGTATTCCCGCGACACCGAGTCATATGCCTTCTGGAAGTCGACCAGAAGCAGCAGCCAGTCCTCATCCTCCTCCACCGCAGCGTCAATCGTGTCAGCTACAAGAGAGACCGCGTCGGCTAGGCTTCTCCCCGGGAGGAAGCCGAACTGATTTTCCGATATCACCTTCGGTAAGACCGCCTTGATCCTGTTTGCCAACACTTTCGCCACCAACTTGTAGAAGAAACACAGTAGAGTGATTGGTCTGTAGTTGCTCAAGTTGTCTCTGTCCCCCTTTTTGTGCAACAGGATCGTAACTGCTGTCAGGAAAGCTTCGGATAGCCGCGCCGTCTTTTCGAACTCTTTGACCTCCCTCATCACAGCTGGCCCGAGGAGGTCCCAGTTGCGCTCAAAGAACTCCTTCGGCAGCCCATCTTGACCGGGGGCTTTACCCACTGGGAGCCCCTTGAGCGCCAGCTTCACCTCCTGCTCCGACCATTCTCTCCCCAACAGCTCCCGGTCTGCCTCTTGTAGTCTCCGCCTTTCATCGATCGGCCACGGCTCCTTGGTGGTCCCAGCCGGTGAGCATGTGTATGCCTCTCGGAAATGCTCAGAAGCCGCCCGCAACACCTCCTTTGCCGAGACTGCAGGTAATCACCTCAGGCTGAGTGAGACTGTAGGTAATCACCTCAGGCTGAGTGAGACTGCAGGTAATCACCTCAGGCTGAGTGAGACTGCAGGTAATCACCTCAGGCTGAGTGAGACTGCAGGTAATCACCTCAGGCTGAGTGAGACTGCAGGTAATCACCTTAGGCTGAGTGAGACTGCAGGTAATCACCTCAGGCTGAGTGAGACTGCAGGTAATCACCTCAGGCTGAGTGAGACTGCAGGTAATCACCTCAGGCTGAGTGAGACTGCAGGTAATCACCTCAGGCTGAGTGAGACTGCAGGTAATCACCTCAGGCTGAGTGAGACTGCAGGTAATCACCTCAGGCTGAGTGAGACTGCAGGTAATCACCTCAGGCTGAGTGAGACTGCAGGTAATCACCTCAGGCTGAGTGAGACTGTAGGTAATCACCTCAGGCTGAGTGAGACTGCAGGTAATCACCTCAGGCTGAGTGAGACTGCAGGTAATCACCTCAGGCTGAGTGAGACTGCAGGTAATCACCTCAGGCTGAGTGAGACTGCAGGTAATCACCTCAGGCTGAGTGAGACTGCAGGTAATCACCTCAGGCCGAGTGAGACTGCAGGTAATCACCTCAGGCTGAGTGAGACTGCAGGTAATCACCTCAGGCTGAGTGAGACTGCAGGTAATCACCTCAGGCTGAGTGAGACTGCAGGTAATCACCTCAGGCTGAGTGAGACTGCAGGTAATCACCTCAGGCTGAGTGAGACTGCAGGTAATCACCTCAGGCTGAGTGAGACTGCAGGTAATCACCTCAGGCTCAGTGAGAGAAGGGGGAGGTAATTACCTCATCTCTCCCTCCCCCTCCCCCCTCCCCCCTCCCCCTTGGCCTTGCCAGCTGGCGGCCTTGCTGGAAGGAAGCACAGCAGGGGACGAGGGAGGAGAGCAAAGAAGGACAGGGATTCCAATACCTTTCCTCCTCCGAGCCTGCTGCTCTCTCTCTCTCTTCCTCGTTTTGCCCCGTGGCAGGCTGGCGAGCTGCTGGAATCATTGCAGGAAGGAAGCACGAAAGGAGACGAGGGAGGAGAGGAGGAGGGGGGAGAGGAGAGGGGAGAGGAGGAGGGGGGGGAGGAGGAGGGGGGAGAGGAGAGGGGAGAGGAGGAGGGGGGGGAGGAGGAGGGGGGAGAGGAGAGGGGAGAGGAGGAGGGGGGGAGGAGGAGGGGGGAAAAGTTGAGGAGAGAGAGCGGGAGGGGGAAGAAGGGGGAGGAGGGGAGGAGGGAGGAGAGGAGAGCGGAGAGGAGGAGGGGGGGGAAGTTGACGGGAGAGAACGGGAGGGGGGAGAAGGGGGAGGAGTAGAGGAGAGGGGAGAAGGGGAGGGAGAAGGGAAAGGAGCAAAAAAGAGGGGAAGGATAAGGGGAGGGAGAAAGAGAAAGGGAAAGGGAGAGAATTGCACAAAGGAAGTGCAAGGTTCCTTGCGTGTAGAGAGAGGAGAAGGGGGCGAAGATGAGGGAACGGGGGAGGGGGATGAGGAGGGTGGGATAGAGGGGGAGAAAGGTCCAAACGAGGATGATGACAGGGAGAAGAGGGAGGGGGAGCAAGAAAGGGAGAAGGGGAGAGAGGAGGAAAAAGGGACAAGAGAGGAGGAGAAGGAGCAGCGCAGGGCCAAGGCACGGACAGTGGGCACCATTCGGCTGATTGGAGAGTTGTTCCTTCAGAGAATGATTCCCGAGCCGGTGGTTCACGCATGTGTGCAGGTGAGGTGGATGCTTGTATGCGAGTGGTTTGATGATGCTTGTATGCAGGTGAGTGGTTTGATGAAGCATCAATCTGTGCAGGTGACGCTTCAGAATCAGATTGGCATCATTCGATTGATTCGAGAGCTGTTTCTTCAGAGAATGATTCATAAACCAGTGCTTCATGCTTGTGTGCAGGGGAGTGGTTCGGTTCTATGTGCGCTGTTGTGCAGGTGAGTGATTGCATGTCTGTATGCAGGTGAGTGATTGCATGTCTGTATGCAGGTGAGTGATTGCATGTCTGTATGCAGGTGAGTGATTGCATGTCTGTATGCAGGTGAGTGATTGCATGTCTGTATGCAGGTGAGTGATTGCATGTCTGTATGCAGGTGAGTGATTGCATGTCTGTATGCAGGTGAGTGATTGCATGTCTGTATGCAGGTGAGTGATTGCATGTCTGTATGCAGGTGAGTGATTGCATGTCTGTATGCAGGTGAGTGATTGCATGTCTGTATGCAGGTGAGTGATTGCATGTCTGTATGCAGGTGAGTGATTGCATGTCTGTATGCAGGTGAGTGATTGCATGTCTGTATGCAGGTGAGTGATTGCATGTCTGTATGCAGGTGAGTGATTGCATGTCTGTATGCAGGTGAGTGATTGCATGTCTGTATGCAGGTGAGTGATTGCATGTCTGTATGCAGGTGAGTGATTGCATGTCTGTATGCAGGTGAGTGATTGCATGTCTGTATGCAGGTGAGTGATTGCATGTCTGTATGCAGGTGAGTGATTGCATGTCTGTATGCAGGTGAGTGATTGCATGTCTGTATGCAGGTGAGTGATTGCATGTCTGTATGCAGGTGAGTGATTGCATGTCTGTATGCAGGTGAGTGATTGCATGTCTGTATGCAGGTGAGTGATTGCATGTCTGTATGCAGGTGAGTGATTGCATGTCTGTATGCAGGTGAGTGATTGCATGTCTGTATGCAGGTGAGTGATTGCATGTCTGTATGCAGGTGAGTGATTGCATGTCTGTATGCAGGTGAGTGATTGCATGTCTGTATGCAGGTGAGTGATTGCATGTCTGTATGCAGGTGAGTGATTGCATGTCTGTATGCAGGTGAGTGATTGCATGTCTGTATGCAGGTGAGTGATTGCATGTCTGTATGCAGGTGAGTGATTGCATGTCTGTATGCAGGTGAGTGATTGCATGTCTGTATGCAGGTGAGAGATTGCATGTCTGTCTGTATGCAGGTGAGTGATTGCATGTCTGTATGCAGGTGAGTGATTGCATGTCTGTATGCAGGTGAGTGATTGCATGTCTGTATGCAGGTGAGTGATTGCATGTCTGTATGCAGGTGAGTGATTGCATGTCTGTATGCAGGTGAGTGATTGCATGTCTGTATGCAGGTGAGTGATTGCATGTCTGTATGCAGATGAGTGATTGCATGTCTGTATGCAGGTGAGAGATTGCATGTCTGTATGCAGGTGAGTGATTGCATGTCTGTATGCAGGTGAGTGATTGCATGTCTGTATGCAGGTGAGTGATTGCATGTCTGTATGCAGGTGAGTGATTGCATGTCTGTATGCAGGTGAGTGATTGCATGTCTGTATGCAGGTGAGTGATTGCATGTCTGTATGCAGGTGAGTGATTGCATGTCTGTATGCAGGTGAGTGATTGCATGTCTGTATGCAGGTGAGTGATTGCATGTCTGTATGCAGGTGAGTGATTGCATGTCTGTATGCAGGTGAGTGATTGCATGTCTGTATGCAGGTGATGGATGCATGTGTGCAGGTGTGTGAATGGTTCCAAAAAGGGTGCGAGCGATCCTTCCCTCGCAAAAGGGTGCGAGCGATCCTTCCCTCGCAAAAGGGTGCGAGCGATCCTTCCCTCGCAGCATCCCCCCTCCCTCTCACGTGGAAGCTGTGAATGTGCTGCTCGCCATAACAGAAAGGGTTTATTGACAGTGAAAAACGTCGTTTTCATGCTAGCCCCCTTCCCTTTCCGTACGTCCCTTGCTTTCCTCCCTTACCTCCCTCCTCCCCCGTATTCCCGATTTCCAGGAACTGTTGGGTAGCCAGTGTTTTTTGAGAATTCTCAAAAAACACTCGCTGCATCTGTCCTCCTCCATCTCATGTGGAAGCAGTGTGTGTATGCTGCTCATGATTACTGGGGCGATTTTTGAGGCGCGGTCCTGCATCTGTCCTACTCCTTCTCATGTGGAAGCAGTGTGTGTGTATGTTGCTCATGATTGCTGGGGGTGCGATGGGGAGGAGTGGGGGAGTGCCGCTACTGCTGGAATTTTAACCCCCTCGTTCACCTCCCTTCCACCTATTGCTTCTCTCCCATACACCCCTCGCTTCCCTCCCTCCTCCAGAACCTTTTGGGCGATCCTCCGTCCATCCCCCCTCCCTCCCACGTAGAAGCAGGGTGCGTGTTGCTCATGATAGCAGGGGGGGCGATGGAGAGGAGTGGGAGAGCGCCGCTGCTGCTCGAAGGGTATTTTAAGCGTGCGAAGTACTTGGCTAAGTGCCAGGGAACTGAGAAGGATCAGCTGGTAAATGATTCGAAGAACGCACTTAGCTGGTTGTGTTTGCAGCAAAAGCATCAAGAGCAGCAGAAACAGCAGCAGTACCAGCTCGCACCAGCCAGCAGCACCAGCTTGCACCAGCCAGCCCGCAAGCCCGAGCAGGCCGCGCTCCAGCTTGCGCCAGCCCGCGTGCCGCTCACACCTGCCGCCCGCTGCCCGCGCCAGCTCGCCCTGCCGTGCCAGCCTGCGGCGCCCTGCTGTGCTGAGCCCGAAAAGCTGTCGGTCTCCTCCCCATGTGGTCGTTTCCTCCCACCTGCTGCAGCTGCGCCCCTGCTTCCTGCAGCTATGGCGACTGAGTCAGTCTTGCGTTTCGATGCGGAGGGTCGTGCGATTGACTTCGCTTCGTGGCTGCTGGAACTCAAGCTCTACCTGCGGAGCCAGCTTCAGCAGGAGATCTCCCTGTACGATCACGCTTCGGGTGAGCTCCCAGCCCCGCCGCGTCCTTTTGGTCTTGCTGCTGACGCCACGCCAGCGCAGAAGGAGGAGTACCGCGAGGCTCGACTAGAGCGCGCGCAGTGGGAGGCGCGCGACGCCGCTGCGCGCCTTGCTATTGGTCGCCACCTCCCGCAGGACGAGCGGAAACACTTTTGCCATGTGGAGACAGCAAAGGAGTGCTTTGATGCTGTTATCGCTCGCTACTCCACTCCCTCCTCTGCCTCTTTGGGCCGCCTCTTTCTGCCTTTCCTCTTTCCAGATCTCTCTGCGTTCTCCACCGTTGCTGATCTCGTTACCCACCTGCGCTCGCTTGACGCTAGCTACCGTGCAGCTTGCACTACTGAGGTTCTTGCTGTGCACCCGCCCCCCATGTATATCACCCTGTACCTCCTCGCGACCCGCCTTCCTGACCGCTTCGCACCTGCTCGCGACGCTTTCCTCGCAAAACACCCAATGAACCTCACTATCGATTTCTTTGAGAAGCGTCTCACTAAGATCGAGACCCGCTTACTCGCCATAGCCTCCTCCTCTAGTACAGTGCTTCCCCCCATGTTTGAGGGATGCGCCCCATCCTTCCTCGCCGCCGCCTCTGCGTCGGCTGCTGTTGCTGAGCCTGCTACCCCGACAGAGGTTGCAACAGTTGTTGCCTCTGGTGAGCAGCGACGTCGCAAGGGTGGTCGGAGGCGTGGAGGGGGTGGAGGGGGTGGAGGGGGTGGAGGGGGTGGAGGAGGTGGAGGCGGTGCAAGTGCTGGTACGTCTGGGGGAGAAGACGCTGGAGGAGGTCATGAGTCTGGTGGTACGGGCGGAAGAGGTGCTGGTCCTAGGGGTGTGGCGGTGACGCAGCAGCAGCAGCAGCAGCAGCAGCAGATCGAGCATTGGGCCTCTCTGCAACAGTGGAGACCTAGTGGTTCGGGGAGCGTCGGCTGCGGTGGTAGCCCTGGCAACTGGGTGGCGCATCGTCGGGACGTCGGGCCCTGTCAGTACCGACTTCTGACCGGTCCGGGTGCTGGCACCGTCTGCGGGCGACATGATCATTCCGCTATGCGCTGCTTCCGCCGTCTCGACGACCTTTATCGCTTTCGTTTTTTGTCTCAGGTGGTCACCCCGGACTGGCTTGCGCTGCTGCAGCGTGGTTTGCCTTTGTTTAGTATGGACATGTCTGATATTTTTTCTGTTATGTATGCCGTTGACCATAGTGCTGCTGGATCTTGTACTTAGACTAGGATCTTTACCTGTCTCTAGTGTCGAATCTTCTGGCACAGTTGCGTCCACTACTAACGCGTCGCTCTCTTTGACGCTGGACTCCAACACTTCTCAGCGTTTCTTTCGCGACCATGCCCGCCTCTCGTCACTTTTAGCTCCTGTCGCTGTCCCTCTGGCTGGAGGGAGGGAGGGAGGGAGGGTGGGGTGGGGAGGGGAGGGGAGGGAGGGAGGGAGGGAGGGAGGGAGGGAGGGAGGGAGGGAGGGAGGGAGGGAGGGAGGGAGGGAGGGAGGGAGGGGAGGGAGGGAGGGAGGGGAGGGAGGGAGGGAGGGAGGGAGGGAGGGAGGGAGGGGAGGGAGGGAGGGAGGGAGGGGAGGGAGGGAGGGAGGGAGGGAGGGAGGGGAGGGAGGGAGGGAGGGAGGGGGGGGAGGGAGGGAGGGAGGGGAGGGAGGGAGGGAGGGAGGGGAGGGAGGGAGGGAGGGAGGGGAGGGAGGGAGGGAGGGAGGGAGGGAGGGAGGGAGGGAGGGAGGGGAGGGAGGGAGGAAGGGAGGGAGTCCAGATTCAGAAGCTCCTGTGAAGGGAGACCGGTTTTAATTTTCCTAAACCAGGGAATTTTCCAAAAGAGAAATGTCTAAGAGTATGCCAATGGAAGTGTAAGCAACATCAACTGTTCCCGATTTGCGAAAGACGAAATATACCTGCCGGCCCGGAGGACAACAACTCCCCCCTAATTTTAGCCGCGGCGAATTCCACGACAGGTTGAGCGAAGTTTCTGGGGTAACCACTAGACAATTGCCTGTCGCGTGCATCCCAAAGAAATAAGCCCCGAATGGTGTAAAATTGCAATTAGCTCTTGCAGTTCCAGCAGATATTCCCGTGAACCGCGTTCCCTCGTGAACACTCCACTTTGTCGCTTGCGTCTGTTCCCCTGTGCCACGATTCGCTTCAAGCGATCGTTTGTTCTCTGATTGAGTTCGGCAGTGAAACGAGGAAGGAGAATCGATGCAAGTTCGACGGCTGATAAACAGGCAAGGCCATTCGGAGGAAATCGACGGGCGATAGGCGTCGTTGCGTCCCTGCGATTCTAGAAGTCGTCGATTCGCAGCAAGGACAGATCCTGGCCATGGATCCTACCACGATCGTCAAGGCAGCCAATCCGTGGGTGCCACGTGGACGCGTGGTGGATGAAAAGCAGAAAGTGCTGCGAACCGTACAAGGGTACGTACGGCCGTTAAATTGTACCCGTTATAGGCTGGTGCGAACAATGGACATCAACCCGTCCCCCTTGCCCGATTCCCACTTACCCTCCGTCCCTGCACCCACTCCTTCCCCCTTCTTCGTTTCCCTCTGCAGCATTCGCAACAAGCTCACGCCTGAGAGGTTCCATCCGCTTTTTCAGAAGCACCACCCATCCCCGCTTCGCCTTACCCCCCTCTCCCCGCCCCCCTTCGCCCTTCCCCCTTCCCCCTTCCCCCTTCTCCCTTCCCCCCTCCCTCCTCCCCCTTCCCCCTTCCTCGCGGCAGCATTCTGAACAAGCTCACACCTGAGAAGATCGACTCGCTTTTCCAGCAGCTGCTGACCGCGTTTGAGTCCACTCAAGACCCCCTCCCCTTTCCCTCCCTTCCCCCCCCTTCCCCCTTCCCCCTTCCCCCTTCCCCCTTCCCCTTTTCCCCCCCTTCCCCCTTCTCCCTTCCCCCTTTCCCCCCCTTCCCCCTTCCCTTTTCTCTTCACAGCATTCTCAACAAGCTCACACCTGAGATGTTCGAACCGCTCTTCCAGCAGCTCCTGACTGCCGGCATCAACACACCTGAGATCCTCCAGGTGATTATAACAGAGCAGGCCTGAATCATTCATTTCAGGTGTATTCAACAGAGGAAGTTCATGTCTGCTCATTATTTGCCGTACTTGCATGCTATCTTGCTTAAAAGAAACTCGTTCTGAATAATTGCTTCACATTTGCTTTGTTAATCTCCGCTCCCCCTTTCTTCCCTCTCCCAGGAGGTAATTTTATTAGTTTTCACCAAGGCAGTAGACGAACCCACCTTCTGCCCCATTCCTCTCTCCCCACTACGTCCTGTTCGAGTGTAGAATTCACATTCCCCTCTTCACCACTCTCCTCCCCTCCCGCTCTCAGGAGGTAATTTCATTGATTTTCACCAAGGCAGTAGACGAACCCACCTTCTGCCCAATGTACGCTGCCCTTTGCGAAAAACTTTCGCGAGCGCTGCCCGAGTTTCCGCCGTCCAATGGGGCAGGGGGGGAGGAAGGGGAGCCTATTTCATTTCGCCGTGTGCTGCTGGGCACGTGTCAGGAGGAGTTTGAACGCGCTGCTAAGCAGAGACTGCAGGTGGGTGTGGTGTGGTGCAGTGGGATATGGTGCGGTGGGGTGGGGTAAGGTGGGGAAGGATGCGGTGGGGTGGGTAAAGTTGGGGTAGGGTGCGGTGGGGTGCGGTGGGGCATGGTGGCAAGTGGTTGCGGAACGCGGGTAATGGCTCGAGAAACCTGTGTTGATGGGCACGTGTCAGGAGGAGTTTGAACGCGCTGCAGAGCTGAGGACTCTGCAGGTGGGTGTGGTGCAGTGGGGTATGGTAGGTGTGGTGGGGTGCGGTGGGGCACGGTGGCAAGTGGTTGCGAAACGTGGTAGGAACCTGTGTTGCTGGGGACGTGTCAGGAGGAGTTTGAACGCGCTGCAAAAACAAGAAAACAAGAAAACAAGTGTCTCAGAAAACACGTGTCTCAGAAAACACGTCAAAAGGGAGGGCATACAAGGAAAAACATACCATAGTCTGTCCTCCTCTGCTCTGCGCCCCATTCTCCCTCTCCCTTCCTCGCTCTGTCCTGTCCTGTGGCAGGCTGGCGAGTTGCTGGAGTCGCTACAGGAAGGAAGCGTGGAAGGGGACGAGGGAGGAGACGAGGGAGGAGAGGAGGGAGGAGAGGAGGGAGGGGAAGAGGAGGGGGGAGAGGAGGAGGGGGGAGAAAGGGAGACGGGAGAAGGGGACGGGGGAGAAGGGGAGGGGGTAGAAGGGGAAGGAGTAGATGAGGTGGGAGAAGGGGAAGGAGCAAAGACAAAGAGAAGAAGAAGGAGAAGGAGAAAAGGAAAGGGAGAGAGGGGAGATGCAGTGAGAGAAGGGGAGGGAGATGAGGAGGGTGGGAGAGAGGGAGAGAAAGATACAAATGAGGATGATGAAAGGGAGAAGTGGGAGAAGGAGCAAGAGAGGGAGAAAGGGAAAGAGGAGGAGAAGGAGCAGCGGAAAGCCAAGGCTCGGACATTGGGAAACATTCGGCTGATAGGGGAGCTGTTTCTTCAGAGACTGATTCCCGAGAAGGTGGTTCACTCGTGTGTGCAGGTGAGTGGTCCGATTCTATGTGCGCTGGTGTGCAAGTGCATGTGAGGTACTTAGCTAAGTATCAGAGGAGAGGGAGGAGGGGGGGGGGTTGCTTGGTTGAGACAAGACGCACATTGTCCGTATGCTGACATATGCTCACTTCCTCACTTCCTCACCTCCCTCTTCCTTATTCCACTCATCCAGGACCTTTTGGGTAATCCTTCATCCGTCCCCCCGCCCTCAACTGTCCCCCCGCCCTCAACTGTCCCCCCGCCCTCAACTGTCCCCCCGCCCTCATCTGTCCCCCCACCCTCAACTGTCCCCCCGCCCTCATCTGTCCCCCCGCCCTCATCTGTCCCCCCGCCCTCATCTGTCCCCCTGCCCTCATCTGTCCCCCCGCCCTCACCTGTCCCCCCGCCCTCCCACGCACCACTCGTTACCCTCCTTTAGTTCCCTCCTCCCCGTTCCCTCCCTCAGGAACTGCTGGGCGATCCTACATCTGTCCCCCCGCCCTCCCACGTGGAAGCAGTGTGTGTGCTGCTCACGATAACAGGGGGGGCGATGGAGAGGAGTGGAAAATTCAAGCTGCTGCTGGAGGGGTATATGAGGCACGTGAAATACTTGGCTAAGTACAAGGGGACTGAAAGGGATCAGCTAGTAAATGCTTCACGGAATGCACTTAGCCGGTTGTACCTGCAGCAAAATTCCAGGGAGCATCAGCCACAGCATCAGCACCAGCAGCAGCATCAGCACCAGCAGCAGCATCAGCACCAGCAGCAGCAGCAGCACCAGCAGCAGCATCAGCACCAGCAGCAGCATCAGCACCAGCAGCAGCAGCAGCACCAGCAGCAGCAGCAGCACCAGCAGCAGCATCAGCACCAGCAGCAGCATCAGCACCAGCAGCAGCATCAGCAGCAGCAGCAACAGCAGTTTCCTCTTTCCCCTCCTCCGCTCACTCCCTCCCTGCCGCACACCCTCCCTCCTCCTCTCTCCTCCCGCCTTCGATTCATGTGCCAAGAACTTCTTGCTCTTCGGAGGAACGGGTGGGTGCCTCGGAAGGAAGAGGTGACTGCCAAACCTATCGGACAGGTTTGGGCCGAAGCGGAGGCAGAGCTAGGGTTGGTGGGTGGGGGAGGAGGGAGGGGAGGAGGGAGAGGAGGGAGGGGGAAGGGAAAGAAAAAGGCAGGAGGGAGAGGAGGGGTAGGGATGGGGGGGATGGGAATGCATGGAGGTGTGGGGATGGGAGGTGGGGTGGCAATGGGAGGGGTGGGAATGGGAGGGATGGGAATGGTAGTGCCGGGAATGGGAGGTGTGGGAATGGGAGGGATGGGAATGGGAGGTGTGGGAATGGGAGGGATGGGAATGGGAGGGATGGGAATGGGAGGGATGGGAATGGGAGGGGTGGGAACTGGAGGGGTGGGGATGGGAGGGATGGGGTGGCTTGGAGGAGTGGGGATAGCAGGAAGCACAGGGGTGTATGCCACACCGCCACCGCCAGCACCAGTAGTGCCTTCCCCAGTTGCACCTTCCCCAGTTGCACCTTCCCCAGTTGTACCTTCCCCTGTTATACCATCCCCACAACCAGCAGCACCCATAGCAGCAGCAGCAGGAGTAGCAGGAATGGACAGGGAAACCCAGCTCGCAATAACCATCCTCAAATCTCTCATCCAAGGACTTAGCACACTGCAAACCAGCACAGTGCAAACCAGCATCCCTGCACCACAAGGGCCCAACCCTGTGCCACACGGATCAACACAAGGTTCAAACCCACCAGCCATGGCAGACGCTTCTCTCCTGCAGCAGTTCGGGCCGACTCTCAGCAGCAGCAAGCCGGAGGTAGCGCGTGTGATCTATGCAGGGGTGGTGACAGCGCAGCAGGCTCTGGGGTCCCATCCCCCTAGGGACTATGCTGCTCGGTTTGTGCTGCAGATGATGCGGCATGGGGCCGCTGCTGCTTATGTTGCTGCCGAAGCTGATTCTGCTGAAGCTCCTGCTCCTGCTGCTGCTGGTGCTGCTGCTGCCACTGCGAAAGCCCCTGCTGTTAATGCATCTCCTGCCATTCAGTCCTCTTCAGGATCCAACGGCTGCAGTTCGCCGGCGCAACCAGCCAGCCAATCGCAGCAGATGCTCGTACCCATCGGCCAATCAGCGCGTGCCGTTCTCGAGTCAGTCGCTTTGCTGCTCGACAGCCTGGCGACGCGGAAAGCTCTGCCCGACGGATCGCTGACAAGTGGCGCGTTGTCATTCGCTCGGCTGATTGGGAGAGGCAGCACCAGTCACAGAAGTGAGCTTGTAGCAAACAGTACAGTCATTGTTGCGCGTTCCAGAAGTGTAGATGCTACACCACCGAAAGCAGCTGCAGAAACATCAGGAATGTGGAATTCCCAGGTGTTGGGGGAGTGGCTGGGGCGTTTCGTGGGGCAGGGTCAGATGGGGTTCGGAGTGGTTCATGAGGCGTGCGAAAGGGTTGTGTGCGGTTCCTACAGGCGTGTGCTTCTAATAGCTGCGATGGTGGGAGTCAGAGCATCAGTCGGGCGAAAGTTTATGAGAATGCTGCAAGAAGCCGGGGCAAAGGGAGTTCCTAAGATGGGGGTTGGTCCTGGGGAGACTGAAACGGAAGTTCTTCTAGTGCTGAAGAAAGAGGTCAATCGGCTAGCCCTCCCACATCAGGTGCTCACTCTCTAATATACACCAATCAACGCCATTTCTTGATTATATCTTGTGTTGTGTACCTTGGTTTCCACTTTTTAGTGGTGTTGTGATTTTGGTACTTGCATTTGGTACTACGGTATCAATGCAATGCTCTTGTTATCAGTTGTAAAAGGAAGAGTGCAAGGAAGTCAATAACGAAGAAGTGATTTCAATTAATGTTCTGCCATACGAATAGAATTATGCTTGGCACGGACTGAAATGGTCTTACGTGAATTCTCGGTGTTGCAGTTTGTTTCGATAAAGAGCCCAGTACAACTACACTCTTGCTTGTCCTCCTGACAATCAGCTCAGCAGTGCACATGTTCTATACACTGTACAAGCCGCTTCGCGCCGTAACCGTGACGCTTCTCCTTCTGTTGCTTGCATGCCTCGTCGAAAGTAGTAAGTTTCCATTTCTTTACTACTTTCGACCGTGAATCGAGGGATCTTACCATCCATCGTTTATTTCCTAGGCGGGTTTGAACATCTCTGCGATTTTAAAACCTGTAGATTCGTAGCAAGGCCAGATCCTGACCATGGATCCGACCACCGTCAATCCATGGGTGCCACGTTGTAACAGGCCGGGATTCGGCATGAGATGCATGGGAATCTCGGAGTGGGAGAGAACTAGCTAGCTCCGAACAACGCCAGTTGGTAGCCTCGAGTATTCCCGTGTATCCCTGTCAGGAAGAATAGTACATGGCAGGGCATGGCATCGAGGCGTCATGCCAAGATGCCATGTAAAAGAGTAGCGACGCGGGTTTCCTTCCGAGTCGCTCTCCTCCTTCCTAGCATACTTTCCTTCTCTATATCTTGTTTTTAACATACTGTAATCCTCTTAATACTAAAATCCTATCATCTTCTTGATTCTCTCCTATCATCTCGCTTCCACGTTTCTGGGCCTGTGCGTCTCTCACCTAGTTCTTCCGCCGCGTTTCTATCTTCTTGCTCGCGCCTAGCTTGGCTGCGCGCCGTAAACGTGACGCTTCTCCTTCTGTTGCTTGCATTCCTCGTGTTACGTGTTCCATTTCGACCTTCGATGTTTATTTTGTTGGCGGAGCTCTAGCACCTTTGCGATTCTATAACCTGTGGATTCGTAGCAAGGACAAATCCTGACCATGGATCCGACCACTATCGTCAATCCGTGTGTGCCATCTGAACGCGTGTTGGATGAGAAGGAGAAAGTGCTGCGAACCGTGAAAGGGTGCGTATGACCGCTGGATTGGATTGTACTCGTTTAGGACCGGTCACCGTTTGAAGTGTAGCCATGTGAGTAACGGCACTATGATAACCGGCCTGGCTGGAAGAGGTGGTTACTCAGGTGTTAATTCACCTCTTCCAGATACACACTCTCGCCCCCCAAACAAGCACACTCGTAACAACTCTTCGCCACTGCAGCATTGACAACAAACTCACACCCGAGTTACCTCTCCTTTCCCTCCTCCCTCCTCCCCCTCCCCCTCTTCCCCGCGCCCACCCCACCTTCTCCCCGCACACTCAACTCTTCTCCACCGCAGCATTCTGAACAAGCTCACACCAAAGAAGTTCGAACCGCTCTTCCAGCAGCTCCTGACAGCTGGCATCAACACACCTGAGATCCTCCAGGTGATTTCAACAGAAAAAACCGTGGTCAATCTGTTTCGAGCAAGCCACACTGCGTTCCCCATCATATCCTCCTATCTTCCCTAGTTAGTTATTGCTTGAATTTTACATTGTTTGAATTTGTTCCCCACCACCCCCCTCACTCCGTCCCCCCTCCCTCTCCGCCGCCCTTGTTTCCCTGCTCTTCCAGCCCCCGCTTCCCGCTCCCTCCTCCTCAATTCTGTTACCCTTCCCACTCAAACCCCGTCTGAACTGAATCTCCTCAAAGCAATTCGATCTCCTTCCACTGCATGGCTCTTTTTACCCCAAGAGAGGGGAGCGACCTCAAGGTTTCCTTTACCTCTCACCTTCCCCTCTCTCTTTCCCCCCCCCCCCCCCCCCCCCCCCCCCCCCCTCCTCCTCCCCCTCTCCCCCTCTTCACTCAGGAGGTGATCTCACTCATTTTCACCAAGGCGGCAGATGAGCCCACCCTCTGCTCAATGTACGCTGCCCTCTGTGGAAAACTTTCGCGAGCTCTGCCCGAGTTTCCGCCGTTCAAAAAAGCAGGGGGTTCAGGGGCAGGGGATGTGCCGATCTCTTTCCGTCGCGTGCTGCTCAGCGCGTGCCAGTCGGAGTTTTATGACGCTGCTAGGCACAGAAAGCAGGTGCGATGTGGTGCGGTGGGGTGGGATGGGATTGGGTGGGGTGGGGTGGGGTGGGATGGGATTGATGGTTTTTTTAATCGCAACAAGCCAGGGGCCTTCTAAATTAAGAACATGCTGACTGATCTGTCCTCCTACTCCTCCTCTTCGTCCCCCTTTCCCCCCCTCCTTCTTTCCCCCCCTCCCTCTTTCCCCCCCTCCCTCTTTCCCCCCCTCCCTCTTTCCCCCCCTCCCTCTTTTCCCCCCTCCCTCTTTCCCCCCCCTCCCCCTTCCCCCCCCTCCCCCTTTCCCCCCCTCCCTCTTTCCCCCCCTCCCTCTTTCCCCCCCCTCCCCCTTCCCCCCCTCCCCCTTTCCCCCCCTCCCTCTTTCCCCCGTGCCAGGCTGGCGAGCTGCCAGGGTCACAACAGGGAGCAAGCGTAAAAGGAGAAGAAGGAGCAGTGGAGGGTGGAGAGGGGAAGGATGGAGTAGGGGAGGGAGGCATGAAGGGAGGGAGAGGGAAAGAGACAGATAGAAAAAAGGATGAGGAGGAGGGAAAGAGGGAGAAGGGGAGGGGGGAGGAGGAGAAAATGATACGGCTGAGGGGGGAGCAGCAGCACAGGGCCAAGGCGAGGACGTTGGGCATTGTACGGCTGATTGGGGAGCTGTGTCTGCTGGGGATCATTACAGTGCGCATCATTCTTGAATGCATGCGGGTAAGTGCGGTTTTCTTAGACGCTTCAGATGTGCATTGAGGTGACTGCAAATGCAGCCGGGAAATATACACCTGATTGTGGAATACAGAGGGTGGATTCACAGAGGGTGGTTCATGAATGTGTGCGGGTGAGTGGAGTTTTGAGACGTCTCAGCTGCCCCCTCCCTCACATCCCCCTCCCTCACATCCCCCTCCCTCACATCCCCCTCCCTCACATCCCCCTCCCTCACATCCCCCTCCCTCACAGCCTCCTCCCTCACATCCCCCTCCCTCACATCCCCCTCCCTCACATCCCCCTCCCTCACATCCCCCTCCCTCACATCCCCCTCCCTCACAGCCTCCTCCCTCACATCCCCCTCCCTCACATCCCCCTCCCTCACAGCCTCCTCCCTCACATCCCCCTCCCTCACATCCCCCTCCCTCACATCCCCCTCCCTCACATCCCCCTCCCTCACAGCCTCCTCCCTCACATCCCCCTCCCTCACATCCCCCTCCCTCACATCCCCCTCCCTCACATCCCCCTCCCTCACAGGCCCCTCCCTCACATCCCGCTCGCTTACACCCCTCCTGGCTTCCCCCTCCCTCACATCCCCCTCCCTCACATCCCCCTCCCTCACATCCCGCTTGCTTACACCCCTTCCCTTGCTTCCCGCTCCCTCACACCACTCCTTCAGGACCTCTTGGGCGATCCTGCATAGGTCCCCCTTTCCCGTGCACCACCCGTTCCCCTCCCTTAGTTCCCTTCTCCCCGTTGCCTCCCTCCTCCAGGTTCTCTTGGGGGAGCCAAAATCCATCCCCCCTCCCTCCCACGTGGAAGCAGCGTGTGTGCTGCTCACGATAACAGGGAAGGTGTTGGAGAGGAGCGAGAGACCCCCATTGAGGCTGGAGGGATATCTTAGGCATGTGGAATACTTAGCTAAGTACCAGGGGACTGAGCAGAATCAGCTGGTAATTTTGTTCAAGAGCACACCCAGCCGATTGCACCAGGAGGGGGAGCAGCAGCAGCAACGTTTTCCTATCCCACCACCTTCACTGCCGCATACCCGTCCTCCTCCCCTCTCTTCTCGCCTTCGGTCCATGTGCCGAGATCTGCTTGAGCTTCGGAGAAACGGGTGGGTGCCTCGGAAGAAAGAGGTAGAATTGGCGGGAGTGGGAGGAGGGCGGGGGGGAGGGAGGGGAGGAGGGAGGGGAGGAAGGGGGGAAGGAGGGAGGGGAGGGAGGGAAGGAAGGAGGGGAGGGAGTGGGAAGGGGAAGAAGAAGGCAGGAGGGAGAAGAGATGTAGGGATGGGAATGCAGCGAGGAATGTGGATGGGACGTGTCTGGATGTAGGCAGGGAGTGATGGGGTTAGGACGGATGGGAATGGGACGAATGGGGATGGGGGATGGGATGTCATGGTGGGGTGGTTAAAGGTGGAAAGGTGGGACAAGGAGTAGCAATTCGGTCAGGAGGGGCAAGGACCGGATGAGGAAGGTTGTGACCGGGCTAGCTCATCTACACTTGCAGGGAGAAAAATCCTAAATCCTAACCCTAGAGAGGGATGGAAGACTGAAAAGGTAGTTGTTTTAGGGGTGTAGATGAGCTAACCCTCCTACGTTAGGTGCATATGATATGCATGAACCAACACCTTTCAGTGAGGTCATATGATATTGCTATTAGGGTATAGTGCTGTGTAGACTGCAAACTTGTACATATGGTACAGGACACCTGGTTCCTGAAATAAGTACTAATACCTGTTCTTTCATTGTTTCATTCTGAACAGCATTAAGTAGTGGTAAAAAAAAGAAGCCTAATGCCTATCTTTTTCCTGTCTAGGCTAATCCTTGCCGTGCCCTCTACAGTAAACCATCACCAGATCTTACACGTTCAACAGCTAGCCCCTCGTTCGATCCTGACCGTTGGAACAAATACCCAGATCCCGCCCCCTCATTAGATCCTGACCGTTGAAACAGATATCCAGTCCCACCACCACCACCGCCGCCACCACCTGCAGCTGGAGACCCTAGCCTTCTACCGCCACCCCAACCCCCATAGTTCCCGGGACTGCCATGCCCCCCGGGACTCCCATGGGAGCTATGATTCCCACCCCCATGATTCCCATAATTCCCTGCATTCCCTGCATTCCCAGGACTCCCATGTCCTCCGGGACTCCCATATGAAGAAGGATAATTCCCACTTCCATGACTCCCAACTCCATGATTCCCGCTCCCAGGATTCCCGCTCGTTGCTCCCTCAGGAGCAAATGAGCTGGATGAGAGGATTCTCCGCGGGGCAGTTGAGATCAACGGCTGCGATGCCTTGACGGAGAGATCCAATGGCCGTCGGGGGAGTGTCGGGAGAGCAGCAGAGCTGGGGGAGGGACAGAGGGAGGGTGACGAGGGCATGTGCTGAGAGGCAATGGCAGCTGCTGCAGCAGCAGCAGCAACAGCAGACCCCCCTGAAGATACACCTCCCCCGAATGCACCTGAAGGACCGCTTGAAGGACCACCTGAGGAAAATTCCAAATATGCACCTGAGGATAAACCTGCTGGTGCACCCCCCCGGCCGTGTAGCTCTGGTGATACAGAGGGAAGTTCTGCTATAGGCGGGAGGAAAGAGGAGGAGGAGGAGGTAGGGGAGGATGGCGCACCCATGTATGCCAGCTGCTGCTGCTGCTGGTGATGGTACAGTAGCTGCTGCTGCTGCAGTTGCTGCGGCTGCTGCTGTTGATGGTAAAACAATGTCTGCTGCTGCTGCTGCTGCTGCTGTTGCTGCTGCTGAGGGTGAGAAAGCACTTGCTTTGGCCCGGCCCCAGAGGGCGTGGGGGAGAGTGAGCGTGGGGCGTCCGCAGTCGCAGGCAGCAAGAGTGCCCTTCTTGCACCGGAACCAGAGCCACTACAAGACGCACCAGCAGCAGACGCACCCGACGCAGACACACCCCCAGCTCCTCCTGCTGTAACACCCCCACCCAAAGCATGCCCACCACCAGCAGTAGCAACCGCATTTTGAGGCGCCTCAAAAGGCGCACCCGACGCAGACGCACCCCCAGCTCTTCCTGCTGTAACACCCCCACCCAAAGCATGCCCACCAGCAGTAGTAGCAACCGCAGCGCCAACCTCTCCTGCGCCTGCCGCTGCAGCTGCAGCAGCTGCGGCTTCAAGCGCATGGTTGCGGTTACCAGGGGAAGGAGTGCGGTTACGGAGGAAGGGACCTCCCCCACCAGAGGACGAAGGCGAGGGGGGAAGTGGGGGGAGGCCGGCAGATCTAGGCGAGCCAGCTTGAGATGAGGGAGAGTGGGCACGTGGGGGTGTGTTGTAGCGGGGCGGGGTGTTGTAGCGAGGAGGGTTGTTGCCATGCGGAGGAGCGTTGGAATCTGGGATTCCAGGAGGAGGGAGAAGAATAGAAGGAAGGTCAGAGGCTGCTGTTCTAGTGGCTGTTGCAGCACCAACACCAGCAGCAGCACCACCACCACCTGCACCACTGCTCCCCCCAGAAGCACCAGCAGCACCACCACCACCACCACCAGTAGCAGCCCTGCCTTCAGTGGAAGCCAGGGCTTTGTGCAGCTGCAGCGACCGCTTGAGAGACGCAAAGTCGGGTGCATGAACCACTGTGGCCTTCACATTGTACTTGTCCATTTTAATCATCGGCTGGGCCCCTCCTCTTCCCCTCCCGCCCCCTGCTGCTCCTCCTCCCATACCCCCATCGCCACCGCCCAAGCCTGCTGCCAGCATGTCGAATCGCCGCCTGTTCTCAGCCATGCGGTCCTCTCTTGCCTTATCTTCCTCTCTTGACCTTTCTGCTTCTCTTGCCTTATCTGCCTCTCTTGCCTTATTTGCCTCTCTCGCCTTCTCTGCCTCTCTCGCCTTCTCTGCTTCTCGTGCCCTCTCTGCCTCTCTTGACCTTTCAGCTTCCCGTAACCTTTCTTCCTCCCTCACCCTTTCTGCTTCCCTCTTCCTTTCGGCCACCCTCTCCCTTTCTGCCTCGCTCTCACTTGCTGCTTCCTTTGCCAGTGCTGCTGCTTCCTCACGCTTTCCTGTGCTCTTGACTTCACTCATTCGTCTGGGGCCTTCACTCCGCTGGTCGGCTGCTGCTGCTGTTCCTGCTGCTGTGCCTGTTGCTGCTGATGATGAAGCCTGCTCCACCATTGGTGAAATGGCAGGCGGAAGCTCAGACGATGCAGAATCAGCTTGAGAAATCATGGTAGTAGATGTGGGAACAGCAGCAGCTACACCTGGTGGGGCTTGTTTTGAGCCTGAAGAAGCACAGCCGTCCAAGGCTCTCCTAGACTGCTGCTGCTGCTGTTGCTGCTGTTGCTGCTGTTGCTGCTGTTGCTGCTGCTGCTGCTGCTGCTGTTGCTGCTGTTGCTGCTGCTGCTGCTGCTGCTGCTGCTGCTGTTGCTGCGTTCGCCTCTGCCATTGCTCCATAATTTGCTCTTCCTGCTGCTTCCTCTCACCTGCCCTCTGCTGCTCTCCAGCCTCCCTTTGCCCCGTCTGCTGCAGCTGCCACAGCTGCTGCCACAGCTGCCGTTGCTGCTCCTTCTCCTCCTCCTGCTGCTGCTCTTGCTCCTTCTGCTGCTGTGCCTGCTTCCCTAAACCAGCCATCTCAACACTCCCGAGAACTTCGCCCTTCACAGAAACACCTGCAGCAGCAGTTGCCCTACCACTGCTGCTTCTGGGGCTGCTCTTGCCACTGCTATAATCACTGCTGGCAGGGCTGCCGCTGCCAGCCTCCGCGTTCAGACTCCCTTCCACTGACGAGTACAGAGGGTTCATGAAAGCGGGCTTTTGAGTCGATTCCAAAGCAGGATTTTCAGTCGACTTATAAGCACTGCTGGTAGGGCTGCTGCTGCCAATGCCCGCCTCTCCGTTCAGGCTCCCTTCAACTGACGAGTACAGAGGGTTCATAAAAGTGGTTTTCGTGGCCAAGGAAAACGCACCTGCCTCTGCTCCTCCTCCCGCTCCCAATCCTCCTCCTGTTCCTCCTGTCCCCAGTTCTGCTTTTCGTACTTTCACAACAACCCCCCCATCATCCCCCCCTCCTCGCCCTGTTTCACCAGCTCCTAGAGCTCTAGTAGCTCTCAGCATAGGCACAGCCATAGAGCTAGCAGGGTCCTTGGCACTGGCGTAACGGGAGGCACCTGCAGCACCTGTGGCAGCTGTGGCAGCTGTAGCGGCTGTAGCACTGGTTGAAGGAACGGCGGATGTAGCAGTGGGAGCAGGAGCGCCAACTAGGATGTTGCGTGGGTTGAAATATGTTGACTTCGCAGGGGATTCGCGGGCAGCAGAAACAGGTGCCAAACCAGAAGCAGAGGCAGAGGCAGAAAGAGGAGCAGAGCCGCCGGAATCAGATGCAGTTAGACTGACGGAGGCAACAGCAGCAGCCGCAGCAGCAGCGGCGGCAGCAGCGGTGGGAGTGGCTGATCTCAGGAATTGTTTTGTGTGCTTTGACGCTGCATTAGGAGCAGCATTGGGACCAGCTGCACCCGCAGCACCAGCCGCGGCACCAGCAGCTGCAGCAGCCGTAGCAGCAGCACCACCACCACCACCAACACCAGCAAGTGCAGCAGTACCAGAAGCAGCAGCAGCAGCAGCAGCAGCAGCCGCGGCCTCAGCATCAACAACAGCCACAGCAGCAGCAACAACTGCCAGCAGCCCGCCTGCTCCGCCTCTCTCTGGCTGCACTCCACCTCCACCACCACCATTACCGCCAGCAGCAGCAGCACCCGCACCGCCAGCACCGCCACCAGGGGGCATGCGGCCACTGAACGACATCCTAGAGGTGGCTCGCGCACAGGCCGCAGCCACTGCTTCAGCCAGCTCCTCCTGCTGCCGCTGCTGCCGCCGCCTCTGCCTCTCCCCTCCTTTCCCCAGCCCACTGTCCATCCCGCTGCTGCTGCTCGTAGTGCTCTCTGTGCGCTCTACAGGTAGCAGGTGCGAGTGGTGGTGCGAGGAGAGTGACGGATGAGGGTGGTGCGAGTGCGACCCTCGGTTCCCTTCTCCGCCTCCTCCTCCTCCTCCTCCTCCTCGTCCTCCCCCTGCTGTTCCTGGTCCTGCTGCTCCTCCCACCCGAGTCAATTCACCAGCAGCACCAATGGGTAGTGCCCCCGCATGTCCTGCAAGCATCCGCCTCTCCCAATCCCTCAGCTTACTCCCCTCCTCTTCCTCCCCTCCTCCACCCTCCTCTCCTCCTCTCTCCAAATCCCTCCCCCCATCCCCATCCTTATCTGCATCCCCATCCTCCCCATCCGCCCCCTCCCCTCCCTCCAACATCAAATCCGATATCCCATCATCCCACTCCCCATCACTCCCCTCCCCCTCCCCCCCCTCCTCCTCCTCGCTATCCACACTCTCCTTCTCACTCGCTTCCCTCTCGCTCTCCGGCCGAACCCGAGTCTGAGTCAACCGATTTGCCCACAGCAGCCACTCCAGCGTCAAGCAACACGAAGCCAGCAGCGCCAGCCACACACCAGCGGTAATGGAGAATCCTGAGGAGGCTTGGATAAGCTGAAGGCCTAGGAAGAGGAGGATGAGGGAGAGGAGGAGCGTGGAGCACCCACACACCTTGTGGAATCGCCGCCAGTGGTCGCGAAGGTGGTGAGACTCGGGCGGACGGATTATCACTGCTGAAATCTGCGGGGTAAAGATGGGATTGATGGGTTGGTAGGGTAGGGAGATGGGAGGGGTGAGATATTTGAAGCCTCCAAGAAGCACCCACACACCTTGTGGAACCGCCGCCAGTGGTCGCGCAGGTTGTGGGACTCGGGCGGACGGATTATCACTGCTGAAATCTGCGGGGTAAAGATGGGATTGATGGGTTGGTAGGGTAGGGAGATGGGAGGGGTGAGGTATTTGAAGCCTCCAAGAAGCACCCACACACCTTGTGGAACCGCCGCCAGTGGTCGCGCAGGTGGTGGGACTCGGGCAGACGGATTATCACTGCAGAGATCTGGCGGGCAGAGGTGGGGAATAGAATGGAACAAGGGTGGGGATCATTTGAGGTGACTCGGAAAACACCCTCACACCTTGTGGAATCGACGCCCGTTGTCCCTTCGGTTGGGACGTACTACGAAGTTACCACAAAAACACACAGATACCATCCTTTCTCACCTGTAGGCCTGAACCAAGCCCCTCACCTGCAGCACCATGAGTGTTGACAGCAGCGCCAGCAGCACGCGGTACCCCACCAACTTGGTTGAAGAAGCCCTAAAACCACCCTACAGAATCTATCCGACACACACAGAAAGCCATCCTACCTCTCCACTTCTCACCTGCAGCACCATGAGCGTCGACAGCAGCGCCAGCAGCACGCAGTACCCGACCGACCGATGCAGCGCCTCCAGCGACATGGCGATCGTGAACGCCGAGACCGTCAAAAAGTACCCCCCCAGCTGAAACCCCTGGTGCAGCGGGCATCCTTTCTCACCTGTAGCTCCAGACAAGGCCCCTCACCTGCAGCACCATAAGAGTCGAGAGCAGCGCCAGCAGCACACAGTACCCCACGGACCAATGCAGCGCCTCCAGCGACATCGCAATCGTGAACGCCGAGACCGTCAGAAAGTACCCCCCCAGCTGAAACCCCTGGTGCAGCGGAAACCAGTACCGGCTGTGCTTCCGCACATACCGCCCCGAAACCGCCCCCACCGGCAGCATAAACGCCCACGCCGCCACACTCAGCGCGGAATACACCACCCCTGCCGTCGTCACTGTCGCCGCGTTCGGATCCACGTCAGTCTCCTTGCCAAAGTCTATCGGCGCGCTTGCCATGGCTGAGACTCCGTCTGGGGAAAGGGAGTCATTAGAGGGGAAGAACTGGGTGCCTTTGGTCCAGAGGAGCACTGCGCCGGATCGCTGCCTGTGGGGGAGCTTGATTGTGAAGAGCAGCGTGAGGGAGCCTGCTTGGAGCTCTGCTTTTGCGGAGATGAGTGAGAGGTTGCCGCCTCGAACCATGGCAGTTTGCTCCTGTGGCGCGATGGTGGCAGCACTGCTACCGTCACTGCTGCTGCTGCTGCCGCCGCTGGTGCCGCCGCTGCTGCTGACGGTGGTGAGCGTGCCTGTGGTGCTGCTAGTAGCACTGGCGTTGCTGCTGCCTCCCTCCTGCTTCACAATCTGATATTCCTCCACCTTCAGTCCCCCGCTTCCGTCCTCCGCCCTCACTGCAACCAGCATCGAGGCACCCACTAACGAGTCCGGCTTCACATACCCACCCTCCGCACTCCCATTCCCCCCCGCCGGCGCGGGGGGAGGGGTAAACAGCGCCTCTAGAAGCGGAGTCGGCGGTGGGAGCAGCAGGCCTACCGCAGCATAACCTTGGGGGGAAACAGACTGCGAAATGAACGCACCAGACAGCTCCTCTTTCCCCAGAGTCCACATGAAAAAGAACCCCCCTGGTAGCGCCTCACACGAGGCGAATTTCCTGTTTTCCCCTTCAAACGTCGTGCTGCACTGAGATAAGCCGGAAATCACCGCCCCGTCGTCCCACATGGACGGCTCGCCGGGCGGGGAGGGCAGCAAGCCGGGCGGCAGAGGCGGGTAGCTGAGCTCTGGCGTGTTCCAGAGCGGTTCACAGGAGTTTGTCGCTTTGGCAGCGTTCAAAGTGATGTTAATGGAACCGGAAAAGAACGCAGCAGAGGCGGCATGTGGGAGGAGTTGCGGCAGCGAGGGGGTGGAGGACGGGAGAAGGGGTCCCGTGGCGAAAATGAACAGCAGCGGGCGGGAGAGGTCGGTGTTGTTGGGGACTGCAGAGGGGAAGCTTATATCGAATCGGCGGTCAAAGAGGGGGTCGGTGGAGAGGGCGAGGGAGCGGCGGAAGCGGACGAAGGAGACGTCTGCTTGGCGCGCAGCGAGCGTGAGGTTGACGTTGTCGAGTGAGGGGGAGGAGCCCAGCAGCGCGTCCTGATGTGGGGGAGTGATGGGAAGGCAGATGGGAGCAGACGAGAGGTTGGTAAAGAGGTATATTTCGGAAGCGGACGAAGGAGACGTCTGCTTGGCGCGCAGCGAGGGTGAGGTTGACGTTGTCGAGCGAGGCAGAGGATCCCAGCAGCGCGTCCTGATGGGGGGGGGGTAGTAGTGGGAGGGAGCAGGCGAGAGGTTCGTGGGGTTTTATTCCTGAGAACCTCACACGGAAAAACGTCTTGCTTGGCGCGCAGCAAGGGTGAGGTTGACAATGTCCAGGGAGGGAGAGGAGCCCAGCAGCGCGTCCTGATGGGGGTTAGTGGCAGGAGCAGGACGGGAGGGGAGTAGGAAGTGGGGTAAGAGGGGGTGGGTTTTGAGGTGCTCGAAACTAAATTGCTTATGGAGGGGAGAGGAGCCCAGAAGAGTATCGCCCCAAAGGGTTCAACACGCCTCCCCCATTGGAGGTTTCTGAGGTGCTCGAAACTAAGGTGCTTATGGAGGGGAGAAGAGCTCAGAAGAGAATCGCCTCAAAGGGTTCAACACGCCTCCCCCATTGGAGGTTTCTGAGGTGCTCGAAACTAAGGTGCTTATGGAGGGGAGAAGAGCTCAGAAGAGAATCGCCTCAAAGGGTTCAACACGCCTCCCCCATTGGAGGTTTCTGAGGTGCTCGAAACTAAGGTGCTTATGGAGGGGAGAAGAGCTCAGAAGAGAATCGCCTCAAAGGGTTCAACACGCCTCCCCCATTGGAGGTTTCTGAGGTGCTCGAAACTAAGGTGCTTATGGAGGGGAGAAGAGCTCAGAAGAGAATCGCCTCAAAGGGTTCAACACGCCTCCCCCATTGGAGGTTTTGATTCAACAACGGGACTCACCGGGCACACGCCCACGTATCCACCTGCGATCTGCTCACACGCCTCCAGCGCCGTGACGTAGAAATCCGTTGCAAAGGCATCGGGCGCCCCACTCCCACCATTACTGCCGCTGACGCCACTACCAAAACTGCTGCTATTACCAACACTGCCGCTACCGGCAACACTGCTGCTACTGCTACTGCTGGTGCTACCGCTGCTGCTGCTGATGGAGGACGAGGAGAAGATGCCTGTAGCGGCGATGTCGCTGCTGTGCATGTCCGCTTGCGACTGGTTACCCGACAGGCCCAGGGCCATCCAGCTGTTGTCAGGCACCTTCCCCTCCAGCCCAAACTCGACCGCCATGCCGTTTATGGGGTCGCCCACCATGCGCCAGTAGCTGGGGGGGGTGTGTGGAAAGGAAGAGGGGGGGGGGGGGAGAGGGGGGAGTTTCGCGCCAAGGGGATTAACGTGAGGGACGATCTGTGACAGAGCAGCGAACGAGGGAAATACAAATTTCCGTTTGGGCTTGAACGAGGGAAGCTGAGAGAGGCATTGACCGACTAATGGACTCCTCCTCGCGACCTACATGTTCAGCCGGCCCTTCTTCGCAGTGACGCAGTTCACGAACCCCAGCGCCGGGGACGCAACGGGCGGAGGGGGAGGCGGAACCGGCGGGGGCGGCGGCGGCATAACCGGCGGCGGCGGCGCCAGCAACAGGTTGTCCTTGGCATACTTCAGCACCTGCTTCCGCAGGCCCTCGGAAGCTTCCGTTGCGCTTCCTGGCAGCAAATCCGTCCCCCCAGCACCCTTGCCGCTTGAACCTGATTCCCCGCCACGGGTAAGGCGCCTGGGCAGCTGCAGCTGAGCTAAGATTTTCTGTAAGACCCCCGCGGGGGTGGTAGTGACTAGGTAGAGAACGTGTATGTTATCCCATGTGCGGCCTTGGGAGCCGATGTGAACGGCGAGGAGAGGGGAGGCGGAGGCGGGGTTGAGGGAAGAGAGGGCGGGGTCGATGGGGGAGGCGTAGGAGAATGGATCATCGCCGGCTATTCCCCCCCAGAGGGAGAGAGAGGGAGTGCTGTTGGCTGATTTCAATCTGGAGAAGATGGGGAATGGGGGGAAGGACGAAGGTGGAAGAGTGGGTTTGGGGAAGAACTTCTGCGAGGAGATGCTTGCGAAGAGACTAGCATGCGAGCGGAAAGGAGTGAGAGGGCAGCGGGAGAAGATCGGTTGCAGTGAACTCACGAGAGCGAGGAGAGGGCGAGGTAGCAGTCATCATACACCGTCACGAGCGCAGACAGTTGAATGCGTGGATGCAGAGGAGTGAACGCGCCTTTGAAACCCACCACGGAGTAATTCCCTGACACGCCGCACGGCGCGTAATTTTTACCCGAAAACTGAATGGCTTCTGCGCTCGGTACTAGCGACGCGTTTGGAAGGCATGCACACATAAAGAGCACCAACAGGGCCGGTGATAAAACCAGCCGAGCATTCAGCATCAGGTGCGCATGTGGCCGATGTTGGCCGAATGAATCCGGCGCCTGCTTTCTCCTGCACGCCTGCCATAATGATCTAACTTCTGTGCGTCTTTGTTTATTGTTCGTGCACGTACAATCCCAAGATGCTGCTGTTGCTGCGACTTCTGTCGCAACAACATCAGCTATAGACAAACCCATTCTGCTATTGCGCGTCGTAGTCTACTGCGACGCGCATGTTCTGTGCACTGATGGTCATACTCTCATACTAGTGAGGTAATTGCACGCGAACAGATCTGGTAGCCCGAGGTTCCCGGAAAGCGTTGGACGTGGGAATAATTTTGAAAAACAGATGGCGTCTCCCGACGAAGCGCTATGGCGTCTTGAATGGAGCTATCCAACATGGTATTGCTCGTAAATCGGAGGGTTATTCATCAATTGTGAACTGAACAAACCTAGACGCCTCTAATCTCCTGAGGGCTAGGATGAGACGTGCTAACCATGGGCTGCACTTTGCTGGGTTTACGAACCAGAACCAGAGCAGACCAGAGAGCACAGCAGAGTCGGAGAAAGTTCAGAGAGTGTCTCGCTGGCTGATGGTGATGGGGGAGCTCGAGAATGTGACCGTTGGAGAGGTTCGCAGGGACAAGTACGATTGGCGGGAATGGTTGTCAGAATGAGAGCCAATTTCCGTGAATTCGTGGTCCAGGGTGATCGGGCAGATTATATTGTTCAGGACTAGTCCCTATTTTCGAGTCTGCTACGTAAAGATTATATTGTTGCGGGATGCAATAACGACGAGCGATAGATGGTACACTTTCGGAAAGTCATTGATGCTGCTAACATTTTTCCATTTACCCAAATTTGTGGGAGAATGAAGGGTTGCATCAAGTGAACCGCGACTCGCTTGAGGTGGTGGGATGGCGCGCGTCGTGAGTTGCTGGCCGATTGTGATGCCCCAGTGCCCCGCCGCCTCGCCCTGCCACTTACTGGATAGCCCTGACGGGACGGAACCCTAAAAAATGCTCACGTAACACATCAAACTCTGATACAAGAGCATGAATCAATGACCCTGAACACCATATCCATAAATACATAAAGCTCATAACGCGTACACATCTTCTTCGCCCACCTTTTCCTCCCTACCATTTCCGAGATGCCACGAATTCTCATGTCAGACTACTTATTCCTTCCCTCAAATACTTGCCTCTGAAGTATGTGCGGAAAGGCAAAGCGAAGCTTGTCGACGTTTTGTTGTAGCCAGCTTAGTCGCTAAACCTTTTTAATTTACGCGTATGCAGAATCGAGGAACAATTGTTGCGAAAATTTTATTCCAGCTGAGCCATGACTTGCGAAGTGTTTGAGCTGAAGGAGCTGGTGGGTGATGGCAGAGTGTCCGTGCTTTACAAAGAGATGACTCTCTCTTTCAGAAATAGTTCTCACAGAAGCCGGCTTCATGCATTTGTTAGCATTTGCTCTCCAGGCGTGAACCGTATTTATGGCAAGATTGTTTTCTCAAATTGCACGGCTCAAACACAGCATTCCAAGACCTTTTCTTCGCTTCACGCTCCGTTCTTACCTGACGTCCAGATTGTTCCTGCCGATAATACTTCTCTTGGTGTGTTTTTGTGTTCGGAATTGACTGTGCGTGCGTGTAACTTTGACTGCGCCTATGCGTGTGCCCTCCCTCCATGGCCGATGTACCTGCGTGGACGTCGTTTCCTGACAGTTGCTCGAGCATTATCAAATCCGCGAAGTCTTACGATGTAAGTTTCTTCACACTCCCCGGTACTACTCGCCCTTCTTTTCTCTTCTTTACTCCCCTTCCCTTCCTCCCCTCATCTGTACCTCCTCCGTTTTCGAGAGGCCTCAGAAAAGGCTTCCTTCTTCACTTTCTCGCCCACGTCTCCTTTTCACCAATATGTTCCACCAAGCAGTGTTTGTGAGGTGCCTCAAAAGCAAATACTGTCCTCTTTTCTTCACCCTCCCCATTTTTCCACACCCCCCGTTTCCTTCCCACACCCCAGGTCTGCTCCACACCATCATGTTCCATCGGGCACTGGGTCTCGTACGACCCAAGAGCATCGACTCAGAGCTCTTCGATATCACCTATGTGAGCACGTCTCTGTTCTCCATCTTTCCTTCCTTATTATTGTTCTTCCATTTTATGGAAAAGAATTTTGTCGTATCTACATATGTGACCTCCCTGTTCTACCTCTGTATACTCCCCGTGTCCCCTTAAATCCATCTAATCTGCCTTTTTCGTCTGCTGCTTCTTCCTTTCTCCAGGTGCAGTGCGGGGATGCAGAGGTGGAGAGACAGATAGAGGAGAAGATTGGCCAGTTTAGTCTATGGCTTGAAAAGAACCCCACAAAGAAGGGACAGGTAGGTACTGCTCCATTTAGAAATTTGAAATGATGTAGTCAGTTTGACAAAGGATTTGCCCGTATGCATGCATTTTCATCTCATTATAGCCTTGTTACTGTACCATCCTTCTGTCATTCTATCCTGTCTCCTCCCCCACCCCCCTGCTCTACCAGATCTGCCTTTCGTTCTTTGAGAAGCGTCGTCCAATCACAAGCTCCAGCTCATCAGCCACGTCATCCGGTGGTAACACAGCTGGCACAAAATCCGGAAGCAGCAGCAAAACCAGCAGCACCAACAGCAGTAGTGGAGGCGGCAGTGGCAACACCAGTGGCGGCAGTGGTGGAGGCAGCACAAGGAAGGACGCAGCAGCATCGTGGCTGAGTGCGAGTGCCGCCCGATTGAGCCTAGGATCAGATAAGATCACGTGGGAACAATGGATCATCCCTGTCTCACTCCTCACCTCTGCTTCAGCCGGTACTTCTGGCCTGCAACCTTCCTATTCCTCCTCCTCTTCCTCCTCCTCCTCTTCTCCTGCACATTCCAGTGCAGCACATACCACCGTTCCCACCACCACTGCTCCCTCCACCACTGTTGTCGGCGGAACATTGCCATCCCCATCCCCATCGCACTCATTTCCCCCCACTGCTTCTAATGCTGCTGCCACCAACTTTGCTAATGCGTCTAGGCCTTCTACTGGCCTGTCAATCACGTTGCAACAGCAGCAGCAGGGGCAGCAGGGGCAGCAGCAGCAGCAGCGCAGTATGCAGTTAGAGGCATCTGTAAGGGAGGCACTGCTTTCGATTCTCACAATGGCCAATGAGAAGAGGGACCATCTGCCTCCTGTCCTCACGTCATCCCTCGTCTCTTTCCCCTTTGAAATATCCGTCCCAAGGTGTGTGAATTCAAAATATTTCATCATCGTCCCATGTATCCCTGTTACCTGCAAATCCTTATTTTCCAGGCTTCGTTCTCACCATTTTTTGTCGCTTTGTGTGTACATCCGTGTATCTGCCTGAGCAGCATGTCAGACTCCTTCGGAATGGATGTATTGAAGAGAATGTTGCAGACAGCACCACACCATGTTCTGGGATAACTCTGATTGGTGGAAAAGCCTACTTTTGTGGGCATTCTTGTACATAGCCGTTCATGTGGGGAATTTTATATGTACAGTGTTGAATCCAGCAGCACCTGTATTTCTTCACTGTTGTGAGAAGCATATATAAATACATATATATTCAGGGCGGTAACCTTGTAGCCGGTTCGCCCCGTCCCATTACCTCAATGGCCTTCGTGACACTGCTCATTTCGCGACACTCACAGCACTCTGATAAACCCACTCTTCCTGCTGCTTCAGGAATCAGAACAACCATGGCGACCTGACCAAATTCGTATTTCTCCCACACCAGCAAAATTGGCTCGGATAGCGAAACCGAGCCGCACACGTGTGTCCATTCCCGACCCGAGTAATTGCACTATAGATTCCGTGGTATCTCCCCTGTAATTGTCACACCAAGTTTCTTCAACTGTGCATTCCTTCAATCTTCCTGTGTCGTCGTCCGATTGCGAATCCTTCGTTTCGCTATGTCGCTAACCCGCTGCCGTCGCTACTAACATCAGCGCGTTTTCGGTTTTATTCTGCGAATCATGGTAGCTCGTCGCGTGCTCTCTCCGTTACCAGCGCTCGACGAAGCGTCTCTCACGGCGCTGCTGCAGCGGCACGGGCTGAAAGAGTCGCACAGCCGGACGATTATCAGGTCAGCTTGGAACCATGGAATGGCTGATACAACTGCAAACCACAAGTTGTCTACCTAGTAGCACTGCTGCGGAGACGGCCTGCTGTAGCAGCACGATGACTTTTGAGTCGACTCAAAAGTCAACTTACCGAGTAGCACTGCTGCAGAGACGGCCTGCTTTAGCAGCACAATGTGAAGGAGTCGCTGCTTGCATTCGTTTCTTGGTCTTCCCGTTCTCCCGTACCCAGTCATGTCGTCGATTCAAGCGGACCTGGGTTCGTGCCCTGACATTCCGAATCCCAGGCTCCATACTCGCTAATGAGTACCTCGTTTCAACCTCTGTCCGTCTTTCTCTTTCCGTTTCCTTATCCAGCCATGTCATCAGAACACGTGGCTTGGGATCATGGACCGATATTCCGAAGCTGCCCCAGCCTCTGTACTCGCTACTGCAAGATTCGTTTGTCGCCAGCACGTCTGAAGTCGTGGAGGAGAAAACATCACATGATGGAGAGACGATAAAACTTCTGATAAGGCTACAGGACGGGTTGACTGTAGAAGCGGTGATAATGCGTTATGATGCGTCAGAGGGGCGCTACAATGGGGGACAACGACCCGGGGGAGAGAGAGCGACACTGTGTGTGTCTTCTCAGGTAGGCCACGCATGTTCCCTCGTTCAGTTCAGGCTTGCTTTTGAGGCGCCTCAAAACTTGTCTTCTCAGGTAGGCCACGCATGTTCCCTTGTTCAGTTCAGGCTTGCTTTTGAGGCGCCTCAGAACTTGTCTTCTCAGGTAGGCCACGCATGTTCCCTCGTTCAGTTCAGGCTTGCTTTTGAGGCGCCTCAAAACTTGTCTTCTCAGGTAGGCCACGCATGTTCCCTCGTTCAGTTCAGGCTTTATTTTGAGGCGCCTCAGAACTTGTCTTCTCAGGTAGGCCACGCATGTTCCCTCGTTCAGTTCAGGCTTGCTTATGAGGAGCCTCAAAACTTGTCTTCTCAGGTAGGCCACGCATGTTCCCTCGTTCAGTTCAGGCTTGCTTTTGAGGCGCCTCAAAACTTGTCTTCTCAGGTAGGCCACGCATGTTCCCTCGTTCAGTTCAGGCTTGCAGTCATCCATGTGGAAGAGCTGAGCAGCAAGAGCTGAACAGCAGTCATACTCTTGAGACGTCTCAAGAGCTGAACAGCAGTCATACTTTTGAGGCGTCACAAGAGCTGAACAGCAGTCATACTTTTGAGGCGTCTCAAGAGCTGAACAGCAGTCATACTTTTGAGACGTCTCAAGAGCTGAACATCGGTCATACTTTTGGGACGTCTCAAGAGCTGAACAGCAGTCATACTTTTGGGACGTCTCAAGAGCTGAACAGCAGTCATACTTTTGAGACGTCTCGAGAGCTGAACAGCAGTCATACTTTTGAGACGTCTCAAGACCTGAACAGCAGTCATACTTTTGAGGCGTCTCAAGAGCTGAACAGCAGTCATACTTTTGAGACGTCTCAAGAGCTGAACAGCAGTCATACTTTTGAGACGTCTCAAGAGCTGAACAGCAGTCATACTTTTGAGACGTCTCAAGAGCTGAACAGCAGTCATACTGGATTGAATCCTGAAAATGTGTATAAGTTTAACGAGATTGACCTTTGAGAAGACTTCAATCTGAACCCATATATCTCCCATCACATCCATCCACCCATGCATGCGTGTATGACTGCAGGTGGGGTGTGCCATGGGGTGTTCTTTCTGTGCCACGGGCACCATGTCTCGCCCCATCTCAACCCATGCTTCTTCTCTGCACCTGTGCGTGTATGCATGACTGCGCTGCATGCAGGTGGGGTGTGCCATGGGCTGCTCTTTCTGTGCCACGGGCACCATGTCTCGTCCCACCAGCCTTACAACGGGAGAGATTGCTGAGTAGCTGCTGCTGGCGTCGCAACGAGTCCCCATCCGAAATGTCGTCTTCATGGTATGCTGTTGACGCTGTGTGTTTGCGGTGTTCATGGTACTTCCGTGTATAACTGTTCTGGTCACAATAAGTGCATGCATGCAGGCATGTGCCACGGGCACCTATCAGAAAAGTCGTCTTCATGGTATGCTGTTGACTCTGTGTGTTTCCGATGCATGGTACGTTCATGCAAGCATGTCCCACCCATATGTTAGGTGCATCATGCATGCATGCATTGGGTACATCATAGGTGCATGCATGCGTCCATATTAGGCTCATATATGGAGCAAGTTGACTTTTGAGTTGACTAAACGTCAACTAGGTGCATGCATGCGTCCATATTACGCTCATAGATGGAGCAAGTTGACTTTTGAGTTGACTAAAAGTCAAATAGGTGCATGCATGCGTCCATATTAGGCTCATAGATGGAGCAAGTTGACTTTTGAGTTGACTAAAAGTCAACTAGGTGCATGCATGCGTCCATATTAGGCTCATAGATGGAGCAAGTTGACTTTTGAGTTGACTAAAAGTCAACTAGGTGCATGCATGCGTCCATATTAGGCTCATAGATGGAGCAAGTTGACTTTTGAGTTGACTAAAAGTCAACTAGGTGCATGCATGCGTCCATATTAGGCTCATAGATGGAGCAAGTTGACTTATGAGTTGACTAAAAGTCAGCTAGGTGCATGCATGCGTCCATGTTAGGCTCATAAATGGAGCGTCTTTGAGGCATCTTAGAAGTAGGTGCAAGCATGCATGCCGCCCTGTGCGACTCTTCCCTGCCAAAAGTACGCCTCCCGTCCCCTGCTTCCTTCATTCCTGCCATTGCAGGGCATGGGCAAGCCGTTCAAACAACCTTGTAGCAGTGAGAGCAGCAGTAGAGCTGATGGTAGCTCCACAATGCATCTCCGAGTGGGCCAGTCTGCCCCACTCTGCTTTAGCTCCGCCTCCCTTCTCCTCCGCATCTGTCTGTTCTGCCAGGGCATGGGAGAGCCGTTCAACAACCATGCAGCAGTAAAGGCAGCAGTGGAGCTCATGGTGGCTCCATACGGCACCTCCTAGTGGGCGTATCTGTCCCTCCTCTTCACCCCACCTTCCTGTCTCCCTTCTCCCCTGCGGCTTGGTTTCCCTTCAGGGTATGGGAGAGCCGTTCAACAACCATGCGGCAGTAAAGGCAGCAGTCGAGCTCATGGTGGCTCCATACGGCTTCCACATGTCGCCCAACCACATCACCGTCTCCACAGTAAGTGTCATGCCTTGCACATGGCTTGTGCATATGCAACAGCATCCCCTTTAGATTTCATGGCTTCCACAAATACTGGACGCGTGCAATCATATAGCTGTGCACAATATGCGTTTCAAAAAAATCTTCCCGCACTCCCTATCTTCCCCTCCACTCCATCAGGTGGGTGTGGTGCCTCATATCCGTTCCTTCCTCCCCCTTCCCCTCAGTAACCTCCTCCTCTCCCTTCATACCCTTCGTCACTCCCTCCCTCCCCTCCCCACACTCCCTTCCGCTCCACCCCATCAGGTGGGGGTGGTGCCGCATATCCGTTCCTTCGCCTCCGCCTTCCCCTCACTCAATCAGGTTCCCGTATTCCCTCCCCTCCCCAAACTCCCTTCCGCTCCGCCCCATCAGGTGGGTGTGGTGCCGCATATCCGTTCCTTCGCCACTGCCTTCCCCTCGGTCAACCTCGCTCTCTCCTTGCACGCCCCCTCGCAACCCCTCCGCATCTCCATCGTCCCGTCGGCCCGAGCCTATTCCCTGGAAAAGCTCATGCAGGCAGTGGACGAGTACCAACAACAAAGGTACGGAGAAGGAAACCCAGTGCAGTGCAGAGAGTAGGTACTCATGCAGCGCACGCCCTACATGAGCAGGTACTCATGGTAGTGGTTCACCACTACCTTGCAACTGTTATCATCGCAACCCCTCCGCGTCTCCATTGTCCCGTTGGCTCGAGCCTACCCCCTGGAAAAGCTCATGCAAGCAGTTGAAGAGTACCAACAACAAAGGTAAGGAGAAAAGATGTTCCATGCAGCACACCACTCACTCGCTTGCTCGGTGTTGCCATTACACCCCCTCTGCGGCTCGAGCCTATCCTGGATAAACTCGTGCAAGCAGTCGACGAGTACCAACAACAAAGGTACGCAGAAAGAAACCACTGCATGCCAAGGAGAAAGAAACTCTCTGCAGTGCATGTCCTCGTTCACCACTGCCTTGCATGGTGTTATTGTTGCGACAGATCCGCGTCTCCATCGTACTGTCAGCTCGAGCCTATCTGCTGGATAAAGTCATGAGAACCGAAAAGTCGTGTCTAATTGTGCTCTGAAAGCCTGAGGAATGCATGCAAGCTGCTGACCAGTTCCAACGAGAAGTGTATTCTTTTGTGGATTTAGATTTCATCTGCATTTTTTCCTTTCATGTGTGTGCAGAGGCCGGTGTGACTTAATCAGGTACATCTTGCTACGATGGGCCAATGATAGATTTGTGTAGCACACGAGACAAGTTTAATGTGCCTCAAATCCTTTTCTCTGTGTGTTTGTGTGTGTAGTGGCAGGCGAGTCTTTATCGAGTACAGCTTGCTGGGAGGGGTGAATGACAGCATCAGTGTGGCACAAGGGACAAGTTCTAAGGCACCTTATAACCTTTTTTCTTGGCATGTCTGTGTGCAGTGGCAGGCGAGTTTTCATCGAGTACATCTTGCTGGGAGGGGTGAATGACAGCATCAGTGTAGCACATGAGCTCGGGCTGCTGCTGCAATCACGCAACGTGGTAAATACTCATTACTGCTTCCAAATTTCTCCTTTTTTTTTTCTTTTTTTTTGGGGGGGGGGGGGGGGGAGTATTAACTCTCATTCGTATCAATCTCTCTGGTGGCTTTATGCTGTTGCTATCAGTTTTTGAGGCGCCGCAATCTGCGGCCCTAAGCTTCTGTAACTGAATCCACGGGAACATTGTCTTTTTGTTCCCTTCGTTCTTCCAGGTGGTGAATCTCATTCCATACAATCACACAGAGGTGGTGGCAGATTACCGGCCATCCACTCCCGAGGCTGCTGAGGCATTTCAGAAGGTGTTACGAGGGAATTACGGGTTACGGACCACCATCAGGCGCGAGAAAGGGAATGACATTGCAGGGGCATGCGGCCAGTTGGCAGTTAAAGCCCTGAAGGGTGGGAATCTGGGGGAGTCACAGTTAGTGGAAGGTTCCTCAGGAGGGGTGAGAAGGAATGTGGGGGTCCAACAACAGGTCTTGTTAAGCAAATTTTGTAGCACCGGTGGTAGCGGTAATGGGATTGGGATGGAGAAAAGGAAGGTGTGTGGCGGATCAACCGGTGGTACTTTGTTGGACATTGAGGACATGGGTTGACTGCTTTGTGAACTGCTGGTGTGTTGTGGAATGTGTCTAGATTTATGCAGAGCGAGAGTGAGCTTTCTAGAGTTGGGTTTATGCAGAGAACTAAGTTTCGACTCGCTAACAGGCGTTTTCTGGACCCCACCCACGTACCACCGAATTCGGCCTTAACGCGTACTTACGGAGAATCGAGGACGGTGCTTGCATGTGGCCAGAAATGTGCTGGTCGGAAGTGTGACGTAGCACTGCGGTGACCCATTCCGAGGCCGCGTTTCCAGTACGTTACGAACACTCTGAAATGTCGCAAACATGTTAGAACCGCCTGGCGATGCGAGCAACGACAAGCACTTGATTCATTGGCCAGTGGATTTAGCGGTTGACAGGCCGTCAGCATGTTGCAGCTCTGAGAGGTGGTAAAAAATGTGCCATTGGTTGCGACATCCAGGCCGCGAGTGCGACACGTCACGAACTGGCAGCTGCAGCTTGTTTATGACTGAACTAACGATTTCGAACGACATTTATATCATGCGACTCTCGGACTGTCTTCAGAAACGCTGTTTGAATGTTCGGAATGCGCTGTGTTGTGCTCATCTCTAGGCTTCAAAATCCCGGGTCGCACACCCACGCTATTCAACGATGTAGATCACCCCATCCCTGAACTTGTGGCACCTATTTACTGCAGACTTGTGGTGTAGGTGCTCTCTCCTCCCAACCCAAGTCTGTCTTCTCCCGACGAGTCCCCCGATTCCCGTTCCAAGGGACTGGGAAAACATATGTTGCTGCGAATTGTTTTCCCTCACAACACATAATTTTGGTTTCGAAACAGACCGCCTGCTGGTGGATTGCATATTCTCGCATCGCTGTCGTTTGTGCCCCCGTTGCATTTTCAGGAACCCGTTGGTGCCCCCATCGCAGCCAGTTGTCGCTGCATTCGACATGGCGTCGCACGTCGCATGCCATCCGTCCGCAGCAAATAGTGTAGTATCAAGTAGTCGCCGGCCAATCCTGTCGCGATCTTCAATGTCTATCACAATGTGCGAACCGCATGTGCGAAAAGCACGATCGACGACCGGTTACCATGCGACGAGTCAACGACGGGGAGTCGTCGTCGCGACGGCCTTCGGATTGCCGCGGACGGCATCGGCCGCATTCTCCGCCGGAAATCCCGCTGATTCACGACCATCCGCTAAGACCAGACGTAGCTTTGCTGTGAACAGCGCGAGTGGCGCAGCTGGCGAAGCAGCAGTAGGAGCAGTGACGGAGAGTCCGCCGTATAATCCGGGTCTGTTCGGTCGGCTCGCGCTCGCGAACTTCAGGCAAAAACTTGTGGATGTGAGCAATGGTGGGGGGAGGTGAAGTGGGATTGAGAGAGGTGAGGAGCGGGCTGTGATGCGAATGTGGGCGAAAGTGGGTAGTTGAGTTACAGGTGTGACCGTGTGAGAGAGCAAGCCAGGTTTTTTTTTTTTTTTTTTTTTTTTTTTTTTTTTTAAAGCAGGAGGCTCGCGAGAGCAAGTCGGGTCTATCTGGTGCGTTCGGGTGTTTTGAGTCATCTCAAGATTGATTTTTTTTCACGAGGAGTGAGCTGTGATGTGAAATGGGGTCCTTGAAATGTGAAGGTAGGGGAGAACTGAGTCTGGCGTGTGTGACAGCGAGCCGGAAAGCTGCAGCTTCTTTAGCACCTGTCACAGGCCCTCGCCCTCATATGAGTCTCCCTCGCCCTTCAGTTCGTCCCACTACCTCCCTTCCCCTGTTCCACTTCCATTCCCCTATCCCACCTCCCTTCCCCTGTTCCACTTCCATCCCCCTATCCCACCTCCCTTCCCCTGCCCCACTTCCATCCCCCTATCCCGCTGTTCGCTCTGTTTTCAGGTGGTGGGATGGAGCTCGCCCAAGGAGGGGTATGATGGGATGATAGGGGATGCGCGAAAGCTACTGCTCATGCATCCTCTCTGCGCATACTCCTCCATCTTCCATTCCTTTGTCCCACTGTTCACTGTGCGTTCAGGTGGGGGGATGGAGCTCGCCCAAGGAGGGGTATGATGGGATGATAGGGGATGCGCGAAAGCTACTGCTCATGCATCCTCTCTGCGCATACTCCTCCATCGTCCATTCCTTTGTCCCACTGTTCACTGTGCGTTCAGGTGGGGGGATGGAGCTCGCCCAAGGAGGGGTATGATGGGATGATAGAGGAGGCGAGCAGGCTGCTGCAAATGCCCTCTCTTTCTCTCCACATACTCCCCCCAACCTCCGTCCCCCTATCTGCTCTTCGCTGTGTTTTCAGGTGGTGGGATGGAGCTCGTCTAAAGAGGGTATGATGGGATGATAGAGGAGGCGTGCAGGCTGCTGCTGATTCCCTCTCTCTCTCTCTCTCTCTCTCTCTCTCTCTCTCTCTCTCTCTCTCTCTCTCTCTCTCTCTCTCTCTCTCTCTCTCAAGCGGTCCGTGTATTAGATCCGAGCAAGGTACAGACATGCACAAGGATATAAGAAGCAATGCATCTCAGCTTCTAAAAACCCCCACATCCTACCTACCCTCCTTCACCCTCTAAGGCAGCTCCAATGCCGGCTCCAGGATGGCAAGGCAGTCCCCGAGGGACATTCCTTCGCCCGGCAGCGCCACAGGTGGGTTCTCCACCTGAGCCGCGTAGTTGCACTTCGTCATGAAGCTCACTGACTGCGCCCGCTGCAGCGCCACGGACCACCGCTGGCGGAACTGGTGCAGCAGCTTTGTTGCCTGGTAAGATGAGGGGGCCGCGTTGAAGAGCCGGCGCGCGCCGGTGTCGGCCAGAAGTTTGAGGAATTGAGGGACCTCCGCGCAAGGACAGCCATAGGTATCAACGGCAAGGGGGAAGAACCCGACCCACGAGGCCGTTGAGCCCTCGTAGTCGGAGATCTTCTTCTCCGCCGCCTCCCTGGCCGCCCATCCCCTGCCCTTGACCGCGTTGGGATCCCGTGTGCTGATGGGGTCCGTGATGGTCACGTCCCCTATCCACACCGCTCCTGAGGACTTGTCCCGGATCGCAATGTCGGCTTTCTTCAGAGTGACGGGGCAGAACGTAGTCGTTTCGCTGTGAGTCATGAAGTCAGCGTCGGCGGCCATGTGTACACACGCATCGCGCAACTCATTGTGCGTGTTGGTCCGCCCCTTCCCCGTGTCGCAGCGCAGCAGGTGGTTGGGCAGGCGCCTGTCAAGGATTGCCGTCTTATTGCGGCAGTCACACGCGCCAGGTGCCGAGGAGGGTAACCCCATCCTGAACTGCAGCGCATGCGCAAAGTGAGCCGGGGCAAGCCGCAGTGTCGAGTTGAAGGGGACCGCGTTGAGCCAGTCTCCTGCCCCATACCCTGAGAGTGAAAGCATGCGCTGAGTGTGCCCGCTTAGTGGGTTGAGTGGCATGATGCGTGTAGCCTGCACCTGCTCCGCGTAGCGCAGTCCGTGTACCGCGATTGCCAGCCCATGCTGCAGCTTGGCGCCCTTGGGATTAGCCCGATCGCTCTGCAGCAGCTCCTTCCCATCGTCCGGCAGTGACTCCTCACACCTCTCCAACCAGTCAAAGAGCGGGGACGTGTTGATGAAGGGCCCCACCATCTGGACCCGCGTTTCCGCCAAGGCGCCGACGGCCGACTCATCAATGGAGGTGAGCAGGTGCTGCGCTTGCGTGTAGCTTGCAAGGAACCCAACACGACCCTCCACCGAAGGGTCTGTGAGTCCCAAACCACCGAGCGAGATGGGGAGTGACGCTTGCGCCCAGGTACGTGAAATCTCGGCCTCCCCCCGTGGGTGGCGAATGCCGCAGGCAGTCAGCAACGTCTCAAACAGCTTTTTACCCCAGTCTGACCACTCCTCGACTGGCAGGGCCGAAAGCGGCGTGGTGCGGGCGACGTAAGCGATCCGCCGTGAGATGCACCGTGAGAGCAGGAGGGAAGCCAGCTGCGGCTCCATCCGCGCGATTAAGGGCAGCGGCACTCCCATGGTGTCGAGGCTGGCACGTAGGAACGCGGCGGTTGCGTCGCTGCCACCGATGAAGCTGCCAAGCACCTTCACCCCATCTTTTGTGAAAGGTACGCCCACTGGAAGCGCTGCTCCCTGCTGGCCAGCCTGAGACCAGGCCGCGCACTTGGCTGGGTTGTGGCGCAGCCCGATCTCCCCGAGGTTTCCTGTGAAGTCCTCAAATGCCGCCGCGCACATGGCTGCATCCCCAAGAAAAGTTACGTCGTCCGCATAGGCTAGACAGACCACGGAGGGGAAGCTGAGCGTCGTTTTCGTCAGCGCTGGGTGTATGGCGGCAGCGAACAGCAACGGGCCGAGGGGATCTCCCTGCCGCACCCCGGTCTCGCTCAGCAGAGGTGGGTGTGAGAAGCCAGCGTCCAGACATAGAGCCGAAGGAAGGCCGTACAGCAGTTTAACTAACGGTAAAAGTGAAGCGAGAGAGGAGTCCCGAAGAGATGTGATGATGGCGTCGCGGTTAACGCTGTTAAATGCGTTCGCCAGATCAGCCTGTAGGACCAAAGCTCCTGTGTTCACCGTGAGGTACGTGCGTGTGATGTGGATAATCGCCTCCGCCCCGCCAGGGACTGCCACGCCGAACTGGTGCGGTAGGAAGAATACACGAGCGGCCCCTGCAGTCAAAGTAAGCGCCGTCTTAGCTGCCAGGCGTGTTATGCTCTCGCCGATGGCAATTGGTCGCGTCCCCCCATCGGGCTTGCTCAGGGCAATCAATCTTGAGGCGGTGAGGAGCTCAGCCACCGCAGGAGGTAATTTTCCTGTTAATATCGTGTTGACTAGCGCGTGCAGGTGTTTCCCAACGGAGTGGTTGATCAGCGCTGCATCGCGTAAGTGTTCGAAAGTTGTTCCTGAGGGGCCCGCTCCCACCCCCATCTCGCAGCTTCCCAGCACCTTGGAGAAGACAGCAAACGGTGCCGATAGGTGAGGGTCAGGTTCTGGAAAGTTCCAGTCAGGTGGGGAGGCGGGCGCAGGTGGGTGCTTGGCGCGCAGGGCCTCCAGCACAGTTGGAGAGGGGGTGCTGACTGGCGTGGCTTCAAGTGCCATCACGGCGCGTCGTAGGCTGCCACGTCGTGCCAACCCCTCTGCCCTAGCGATGACACCAATGTCATCGGGCTGGTGTCTGGGTGGTTGGGGCCACGACAGTGAACCCACTGTTTCAGTGTATAATTTGTCCCATTCTCCAGACAGAAACTGACGAAGGCGGGCACTGACAGCCTTCCAGTCTGGGCGCCTAGGTGACAGCTGGCGAAGTGTTAATCGAGCGAGAAACAGGACGACCGTCCATGCAGAAGGTGAGTCTGGATATTTCGCCAAGCGCAGCAGCGGAACCAACAGAGCTGTGGCGAAAAGTTTGCGTGGGTCTGGTGGGAGGTGACGGGAAAGAGGTGCGTGGCGAGAGTCACGCAATTTCGTCAGATCCCAGTTTGACACGCTGGCGAATAGCGTGTCGTCCTTGGCGAGTGATTCTGGGGATTTCTCCTCTGGGGCTTGGGTTGGGACGGGGTTACCGCCAGGTGCAGATTGATGTCCGGCCTGGCTAGGGGTCTGAATGTGGGAATTCGTGGTTGGGATTGGTGCAGTTACAATGTTGCCTGATGCGGCTCGGGTTGGTGTGGGGGACCCCTCCTAATGGATCTCACTGCTGCAGCTCCCCCCGCCATGTGAGATGCTGCTGCTGCTGCTCTGCCCGCTCGAGCAGGAGTCTGAAGCTGCTCGTCGTCCAAGGACTCAGAGCTGGAAGTCGAGTCAGTGGACTCGGCTGCTACAAAGCTACTGTCTGAAGTGGAGGTTTCATTATCACCGCTCATCTCGTTTAAAGCCCGCCTCCCCGCCTGCTGGTACACGTTTTCCGGTCCACCCCCACGTGCTCTCCCCCCGCGTCCCGCAGCTCTCCTTCCGCGGCCTGCTGTTCTTCCGCCGACTTGTCGGCCGCTGAGTGTCCGCGCGCCCTCTTCCCGACGTACCGATGAGTTCCCTTGAAGCTCCTGCCTTGGGGCGAGCCGCGGAGAGCGATCCAGCTCCCCGCCCACTTCCTCCTGCGCGCCCTGCCGCGAGCGTGCCTGTCGCGCCGCCGGCGTCTGCGGATCGGATCCGCCGTCGTTTCGAAGATCAGCAGCGCGCTCTGACCTCGCGCGGGGGCCGGTCCCTGCCTCAGCCGGAGCCTGCTCACGCGGCGTCCGCCGAGCGCTACGGCGGAGTGGGTGTGGCGCACCAGGAGCATTCCCCTCGCCGACGTTCATCTGTGATTCGCGGCGATAGGCGGGAGAGCCGCAGGGAAGGTCTTCACGCTGGCCCGCGGTCGCCGCGTTCGCCTCGTCGCGTGGCGTCACGGAGTCGTTCGCGTGATCGCAGGTCACACCGCCACCGTTCGCCCGCTCGCCCTCATTCTCGTCACCGTTCGCCCGTACGCCAGTCGTCCCGTCCTCGATCGCCTCCGCGTTCGCCACGTCCCTCGAAGCGTCCACGGCTCGACTCTCCTCGTCGCGTGGTCCGTTCCCCTGAACGCCAGCGTCAGCTGGGCTCGTCTCGCCAGCAGTCGCCTGTGCGTTCGGACGCAAGTGGTCGGGGGCGTCGCGGGCGGCGGGGAGGTTATGGTCGCGGGGGAAAAGCGCGTCCAGCGCCGTCCGCAATGGAGCGCCGTCTTCTGGATAGGCTTGATGACGTGGAGAAGGAGCTTCGTCGCTCACGTGCGGGGTCGGCGTCACCCCCAGCTCCTCGCGCTGCTCCCGTCGTCCCTCTCTCCGCGCTCCTGCCTCACAATCCATTCGGATCCCCGGCGCGCTCAGATCGGCCGCTGCCTGCGGGAATGGGCTTCGTAGGTGCTGGTGGCGGGCTGCCGTGGGCTCAGTATGAACCGCCGCGTCCTCTTCCTGCTCCGCGTGATCTCGCCGTGTCGTCTCACCGTGCCCGCTCGTCCGCGTTGCTTCCGCCGATGAGGAGAATTCCCACGGCGACCCTGGCCCGCCTATGGTCGCTGGCGGCGTCCCTGCAGAGCCTTGAGCGGATTCTCCAGGAGTCATATGACTCCATGCCGGTGAGCCCTCCGAGCAGGTTCTCTCAGAAACCGCGAGCTGATTGTCATGCGGCGGCGTCAGCGCTATTCGCGCTCGTAACGCCACTGCAGGTAGAGCCCTCGCCGGGAGCAGCCTCGGCCAGCCAGCTGGCTGACTCGGCCCTGGCTCTGAGGACGCTTGTAGCAGGTCCTGGTACTCCCGTTGACGTTGTAGGCGCCACCGTGTTAGTGGTCCGCCAGTTGTGGTTGAACACGAGCGGAATGCTCGCTGCGGTAGACGCGGACCGCATGTAGGTGCTCCCCCCTTGCGCGTGTAGACCCGTTCCATTATCGTGTTGCTAGGTGTCGATGCTTGCCTTGCTTGTGTCTGATGCCTAAACTACTGCTTGTTGTTCCCCCTTGTCATCCCGAGCGCGCGGCCGAAGGCCGCGCACGCGAGCGCCGGCGCGAAGCGCGAAAATTTTTCAGAATGAACTGAATACTAAGGATGAAGAAGCCACGAGAGCCTTTAAGTACTCATGGGAGAGGGCAGAAGGGTGAGTGCAAAGGCAGAAGGGGAGAGGCTAATCCTCTCTCTCTCTCTCTCTCTCTCTCTCTCTCTCTCTCGCTCTCTCGAACGATCGAGCGAAAATTTTTCAGAATGAACTGAATACTAAGGATGAAGAAGCCACGAGAGCCTTTAAGTACTCATGGGAGAGGGCAGAAGGGTGAGTGCAAAGGCAGAAGGGGAGAGGCTAATCCTCTCTCTCTCTCTCCAGCGGTCCGTGTATTAGATCCAAGCAAATACAGACATGCAAAGGATAGAGATGCTACTCATACAAATCATCTTCTAACCCACACATCCCACTCACCCCCCTCCCCCTCTGCTCCGTCTAAGGGAGCTCCAGCACCGGCTCTAAGATGGCCAGGCAGTCCCCAAGGGACATGCCCTCGCCTGGCATCTCCGCAGGTGGGTTCTCCACCTGTGCCGCGTAGTTGCATTTCTCCATAAAGCTCACCGACTGAGCACGCTGCAGCGCCACGGACCACCTCTGGCGGAACTGGTGCAGCAGCTTCGTAGCCTGGTAGGATGAGGGGGTCGCGTTGAAGAGCCTGCGGGCGGCGGTCTCGGCTAACAGCTTGAAGAATTGGGGCACCTCCTCGCAAGGGCAGCCGTAGGTGTCAACGGCGAGTGGGAAGAATCCGACCCACGAAGCCGTTGAGCCTTCGTAGTCGGAGATCTTCTTCTCCGCCGCTTCACGGGCTGCCCACCCCCTGCCCTTGACTGCGTTGGGGTCACGGGTGCTGATGGGGTCCGTGATTGTCACGTCCCCAATCCAAACCGCCCCCGAGGACTTGTCCCTGATTGCTATGTCCGCCTTCTTCCTAGTGACGGGGCAGAATGCGGTTGTCTCTCCATGAGTCATGAAGTCCGCGTTGTTGGCCATCCGGAGGCACTCATCCCGCAGCTCATTATGGGTGTTGGTCCTCCCCTTCCCTGTGTCACAGCGCAGAAGGTGGTTGGGCAGCCGTCGGTCTGTGATTGCCGTGTTGTTGCGGCAGTCACAAGCCCCAGGTGCAGAGGAGGGAAGCCCCATTCGGAACTGCAGTGCGTGGGCGAAGTGATCTGGAGCCAGGCGCAGCGACTTGTTAAAGGGGACCGCGTTGAGCCAGTCCCCTGCCCCATACCCCGAGAGGGAGAGCATACGTTGCGTGTGCCCGCTAAGGGGGTTGAGCGGCATGTCGCGCGTGGTTTGGACCTGCTCGGCGTAGCGGCGTCCGTGGACCGCGATTGCCAGCCCGTGCTGCAGCTTGATGCCTTTGGGTTCGGCGCGGTCGCTCTGCAGCAGCTCCTTCCCGTCCTCCGGCAACATCTCCTCGCACCTCTCCAACCAGTCAAACAGCGGGGACGTGTTGAGGTAGGGTCCCGCCATCTGGATCCGTGTTTCTGCCAAGGCGCCGACCGCCGCCTCGTCAATGGAGGTGAGCAAATGCTGCGCCTGCGTGTAGCTCGCCAAGAACCCTACGCGACCCTCCACCGACGGGTCCGTCAGACCCAAGCCTCCAAGTGAGATCGGGAGTGAGGCTTGGGCCCAGGTCCGTGCTATCTCAGCCTCCCCCCGTGGGTGTCGAATGCCGCAAGCCGTCAACAGTGTGTCAAACAATCCCTTGCCCCAGTCCGACCATTCCTCCACTGGCAAGGGAGAGAGCGGAGTGGTGCGCGCGACATAGGAGACTCGCCGCGAGATGCATCTGGTAAGCAGGAGAGACGCCAGCTGTGGCTCCATTCTCGCAATTAGGCGAAGTGGGGCTCCCATTGTGTTAAGGCTGTCGCGTAGGAACGCTGCAGTTGCGTCGTTTCCGCCGACGAAGCTGCCCAGCACCTTCACGCCGTCATCAATGAAAGGTACGCCCTGCGGCAGGGGTGTTGACTGACGGCCTGCCTGTGACCATGCCGCACACTTAGCGGGGTTGTGTTGTAGCCCAATCTCCCCAAGGCTTCCTGTGAAGTGCCCAAACGCCGCCGCACAAGCCGTTGCTTCTCCAAGAAAAGTGACGTCGTCCGCGTATGCCAGGCATACCACGGACGGGAAGGTAAGTGCCGTGCTTGTCAACGCGGGGTGAATGGCGGCAGCAAACAGCAAGGGGCCGAGGGGATCTCCCTGCCTCACCCCGGTTTCGCTCAAGAGTGGTGGGTGCGAGAATCCGGCATCCAGGCATAGGGAAGAGGGGTGGCCATATGACAGTTTCACGAGTGGCAGTAGCGGAGCTAGCGTCGAACCTCGAAGCGACTCCGTGATGGCCCCTCGGTTAACACTATTGAAAGCGTTCGCCAGGTCGGCCTGCAGAACGAGCGCTCCAGGGTTGACGGTAAGAAAGGTTCGCGTGATGTGGATGATCGCCTCTGCTTCCCCTGGAACCGCTACACCGAATTGATGAGGTAAGAAGAAATCTCGAGCGGCGCCCGCCGTCAAGGTAAGAGCTGTTTTGGCAGCGAGGCGAGTGATGCTTTCGCCGATGGCTATCGGCCTCGTCCCCCCTCCTGGTTTGGTAAGGGCAATCAGGCGAGAGGCGGTGAGGAGTTCGGCTATTGCGAGAGGTAATTTTCCAGTGAGTATGGTGTTGACTAGCGCATGCAGGTGCTTCCCCACTGAAGCGTTGATCAGAGATGCGTCCCGCAGGTGTTCGAATGTTGTTCCTGATGGCCCAGCTCCTACTCCCATCTCACACCGACCCAAAACCTTGGAGAAGACCTCGTAAGGCGCCGAGAGGTGAGGGTCTGGTGTGGGAAATATCCAGTCAGGTGGGGAGGCGGGCGCAGGTGGGTGCTTGGCGCGTAGTGCCTCCAGCACAGCCGGCGATGGCGTGCAAACTGGCGTGGCCTCTAAGGCCATGACGGCCCGTCGCAGGCTGCCACGTCGAGCTAGCCCCTCAGCTCTCGCGATGACCCCAATGTCATCCGGCTGGTGTCTGGGTGGCTGGGGACAGGTCAGTGAGTCCACGGTGTCCTTGTACAGCTCATCCCAGTCCCCACACATGAATTTGCTAAGTCGTGCGCTGACTGCCTTCCAATCTGGACGCCTGGGTGACAGCTGGCGAAGTGTGAGTCGTGCGAGGAACAAGAGGACGACCCAAGCAGAGTGTGAGTCTGGATCGTTCGCCAACCGCAGCAGAGGTACCAGCAAGGCGGTGGCGAAAAGTTTGCGAGGGTCGGGTGGGAGGTGGCGGGAGAGTGGTGCGTGGCGACTGTCGCGCAATTTCGTCAGGTCCCATGTTCCAACCCCAGCGAATAGCACGTCGTCCTTGGCGAGTGTTTCTGGGGATTTTTCTCTCTCTCTCTCTCTCTCTCTCTCTCTCTCTCTCTCTCTCTCTCACTTCATTGCTCCCCACCTGTGTCTCAGGTGGTGGGGTGGAGCTCGCCGAAAGAGGGGTACGACGGGATGATAGAGGAGGCGCGGAAGCTGCTGCAGATGCCCTCTCTCTTCCTTCATTGCTCCTCACTTCCCGCTGTTCTCTGTGCTCTCAGGTGGTGGGGTGGAGCTCGCCTAAAGAGGGGTACGACGGGATGATAGAGGAGGCGCGGAGGCTGCTGCAGATGCACCCCGATCGCAAGAAGAGCGAGGAGGACGCGGTGAGTGTGTGTGTGTGTGTGTGTGTGTGTGTGTGGGTGGGTGTGTGTGTGTGTGTGTGTGCTCGTTATAGTCACACACAGTGCACTGCATACATACTCTTGCTGCTGATGCACGGGGATCGCAAGAAGAGCGAGGAGGACGCGGTGAGTCATTGCATGTCATGAGTCCCCCTCGCTCATGCATGACATGAGAATCACATGACCATAAGATGAGCATACCATAAGCGTCACATGACCATATGAGCATGAATGACATGTTATAGTCACATACACGCGCTGCTGATAATGCACTCGGATGGTAGGAAGAGCAAACAGGACGCGGTGAGCTGTGTGTTCTGCTCGTTATAGTCACATGCTTACTCACCTCACTTACGCTCACTATCACCCATCCCCTCTCCTGCCGCCCATCAGGTAACGATTCTACGAGCCCACTTCCCGCCCTTCCTTCTGCCACTCTTCAAGAGGTTCTTTGCTCCATTGTGGGGCGGCCGGGTTGCTGCTGTTCTCTGTGGTAAGGGCGGTGTGCTGTGCTCTGTGGTAAGGCCGATGTGCTGTTTAGCCGACTTGTTATGTTACGCTCGGTTCAGTCATTCCCGCCTTTCTTTCGCTGCTGTGCTCGATACTCTGTGGTAGGCACTGAACGAACGGTGTGCTCGATATTGTTGATCTCGCAGCGCGTGAAAATAGATCTGTTTTGAGACATCTCAAAGCAACATTATAATCACGTGGTAAGCGCTGCTGTGCTCGATACTCTGTGGTAGGCAAGGCACTGAACAACAGTGTGCTATTTTTGAGGCGCCTAATATATATATATATATATATAGCACAGAGCGGTGTGCTATCGTTGATATCACAGTAAGTGCTGGCCTCAGATCTGTGCTGTGGTGCTCCCTCCCTCCCTCCCTCCCTCCCTCCCAGCGTGGGTGACACACCTCGCCTGCCAGTGGCTCATGGGGCCCAGCAAGGTGGTGGCGATAGAGATGGAGGACGGCAGGAAGCAGCTCTCAGGGGTGAGTCCTAGAGTGTGGGGATGGTGCATATGTGGGTATGGTCACCTGTGTGGGCACTGGGTAGGGTAGTGGCTCATGGGGCCCAGCACGGTGGTGGCGGTGGGGAGGGAAGACGACCGTAAGCAGCGCTCGGGGGTGACTCGTTGAGTGTGTGAGTATGGTTATTGTGCTGGTGGTATGCATGCTCACATGCCTGCCAGTGGCTCATGGGGCCGCAAGCAACGCTCGGGAGTGAGTCGCTGAGTGTTTGTGGCTTTAGTGTAATGTTCACCCAGTGAACCCAGTGTGACCCACTGTGGCCCAGTGTGACCCAGTATGACCAAGCATGCCCAAGTGTGAACAAGCATGACCAAGCGTGACCAAACGTGCCCAAGCATGCCCAAGCGTGACCAAACGTGCCCAAGCGTGCCCAAGCGTGACCAAGCACGCCCAAGTATGAACAAGCATGACCAAACGTGACCAAACGTGACCAAGCGTGACCAAACGTGACCAAACGTGACCAAGCGTGACCAAACGTGACCAAGCGTGACCAAACGTGACCAAGCGTGACCAAACGTGACTAAGCGTGACGAATCGCGACGAAGCGTGACCAAGCACCCTCAAGTGTGACCAAGCGTGACGAAGCGTGACTAAGCGTGACCAAGCGTGCCCAGATGTGACCAAGCGTGCCCATGCGTGCCCAAGCATGCCCAGATGTGACCAAGTGTGTCCAAGTGTGCCCCTCTTCCCCCACTGTCTCTTTTGCCCACCCTCTCGTTCTTCCCACCACCAGGTGAAGGTGGAGAAGTGCAAGTTCCTGAACTTTTGAGGCGCCTCAAAAACCACCAGGTGAAGGTGGAGAACTGCAAGTTCCTGAACGACTTTTGAGGCGCCTCAAAAACCACCAGGTGAAGGTGGAGAAGTGCAAGTTCCTGAACGACTTTTGAGGCGCCTCAAAAACCACCAGGTGAAGGTGGAGAAGTGCAAGTTCCTGAACGACTTTTGAGGCGCCTCAAAAACCACCAGGTGAAGGTGGAGAAGTGCAAGTTCCTGAACTTTTGAGGCGCCTCAAAAACCACCAGGTGAAGGTGGAGAAGTGCAAGTTCCTGAATCTAAGTTCCTGGACGACTTTTGAGGCGCCTCAAAAGTTCCTGAATCTAAGTGTGCACATCCCCGTCAACATCCCTCTGTTGCTCTTTCTTCTGTTCCTCCCGCCTCCTGTCCTTCCGCTCACCACCAGGTGAAGATCGAGAAGTGCAAGTTCCTGGGCGAGGCACAGCGTGAGCATTTCTTCTGAACGCCCCATACTCCGCCTTTGCTCCTTCTCCTGTGTCTTTCTCACCCTCTCCTCTCAACGACACCATCCCGCCACCAGGTGAAGATAGAGAAGTGCAAGTTCCTGGACGAATCGAAGTGTGCTGGCAGCTGCATTCACACATGCAAGATGCCCACTCAGGTGTGTGCATTCATGTACGCATGCATGCATGGGCATGCACCTGCGCACTGGGTCAAACGAAATGAGCTGGCAGCTGCATCTGCATTCACACATGCAAGATGCCCACTCAGGTGTGTGCATTCATTCATGTACTCATGCATGCATGGGCATGCACCTGCGCACTGAGTCAAACAAAATGTGCTGGCAGCTGCATTCACACACGCAAGATGCCCACTCAGGTATGTGAATGTGGGTATCTTCATGCATGTATGTGCGTGCGTGTGCAAGTGCTGTGGTAGGGGAGGGATGTGTCCGTATACCCATGCATGCACCTACGCCCATGCTGTCTCTTGAGAAGTCTCAGAAGTCCACTCAGGTATGTGAATGTGGGTATCTGCATGTGCGTGCGTGTGCACGTGCTGTGGGAGGGGAGGGATGTGTCCGTATACCCGTGCATGCACTTATGCCTACGCTGTTGCTCCCATCGCTCTTGCTGTCCCGTCTTCAGGGTAACGAGGTGACTTTTGAGTCGACTCAAAAGTCACTAGGGGAGGGATGTGTCCGTATACCCGTGCATGCACCTATGCCCATGCTGTGCATGCACCTATGCCCATGCTGTGCATGCACCTACGCCCATGCTGTGCATGCACCTATGCCCATGCTGTGCATGCACCTATGCCCATGCTGTGCATGCACCTACGCCCATGCTGTGCATGCACCTATGCCCATGCTGTGCATGCACCTATGCCCATGCTGTGCATGCACCTATGCCCATGCTGTGCATGCACCTATGCCCATGCTGTGCATGCACCTATGCCCATGCTGTGCATGCACCTATGCCCATGCTGTGCATGCACCTATGCCCATGCTGTGCATGCACCTATGCCCATGCTGTGCATGCACCTATGCCCATGCTGTGCATGCACCTATGCCCATGCTGTGCATGCACCTATGCCCATGCTGTGCATGCACCTATGCCCATGCTGTGCATGCACCTATGCCCATGCTGTGCATGCACCTATGCCCATGCTGTGCATGCACCTATGCCCATGCTGTGCATGCACCTATGCCCATGCTGTGCATGCACCTATGCCCATGCTGTGCATGCACCTATGCCCATGCTGTGCATGCACCTATGCCCATGCTGTGCATGCACCTATGCCCATGCTGTGCATGCACCTATGCCCATGCTGTGCATGCACCTATGCCCATGCTGTGCATGCACCTATGCCCATGCTGTGCATGCACCTATGCCCATGCTGTGCATGCACCTATGCCCATGCTGTGCATGCACCTATGCCCATGCTGTGCATGCACCTATGCCCATGCTGTGCATGCACCTATGCCCATGCTGTGCATGCACCTATGCCCATGCTGTGCATGCACCTATGCCCATGCTGTGCATGCACCTATGCCCATGCTGTGCATGCACCTATGCCCATGCTGTGCATGCACCTATGCCCATGCTGTGCATGCACCTATGCCCATGCTGTGCATGCACCTATGCCCATGCTGTGCATGCACCTATGCCCATGCTGTGCATGCACCTATGCCCATGCTGTGCATGCACCTATGCCCATGCTGTGCATGCACCTATGCCCATGCTGTGCATGCACCTATGCCCATGCTGTGCATGCACCTATGCCCATGCTGTGCATGCACCTATGCCCATGCTGTGCATGCACCTATGCCCATGCTGTGCATGCACCTATGCCCATGCTGTGCATGCACCTATGCCCATGCTGTGCATGCACCTATGCCCATGCTGTGCATGCACCTATGCCCATGCTGTGCATGCACCTATGCCCATGCTGTGCATGCACCTATGCCCATGCTGTGCATGCACCTATGCCCATGCTGTGCATGCACCTATGCCCATGCTGTGCATGCACCTATGCCCATGCTGTGCATGCACCTATGCCCATGCTGTGCATGCACCTATGCCCATGCTGTGCATGCACCTATGCCCATGCTGTGCATGCACCTATGCCCATGCTGTGCATGCACCTATGCCCATGCTGTGCATGCACCTATGCCCATGCTGTGCATGCACCTATGCCCATGCTGTGCATGCACCTATGCCCATGCTGTGCATGCACCTATGCCCATGCTGTGCATGCACCTATGCCCATGCTGTGCATGCACCTATGCCCATGCTGTGCATGCACCTATGCCCATGCTGTGCATGCACCTATGCCCATGCTGTGCATGCACCTATGCCCATGCTGTGCATGCACCTATGCCCATGCTGTGCATGCACCTATGCCCATGCTGTGCATGCACCTATGCCCATGCTGTGCATGCACCTATGCCCATGCTGTGCATGCACCTATGCCCATGCTGTGCATGCACCTATGCCCATGCTGTGCATGCACCTATGCCCATGCTGTGCATGCACCTATGCCCATGCTGTGCATGCACCTATGCCCATGCTGTGCATGCACCTATGCCCATGCTGTGCATGCACCTATGCCCATGCTGTGCATGCACCTATGCCCATGCTGTGCATGCACCTATGCCCATGCTGTGCATGCACCTATGCCCATGCTGTGCATGCACCTATGCCCATGCTGTGCATGCACCTATGCCCATGCTGTGCATGCACCTATGCCCATGCTGTGCATGCACCTATGCCCATGCTGTGCATGCACCTATGCCCATGCTGTGCATGCACCTATGCCCATGCTGTGCATGCACCTATGCCCATGCTGTGCATGCACCTATGCCCATGCTGTGCATGCACCTATGCCCATGCTGTGCATGCACCTATGCCCATGCTGTGCATGCACCTATGCCCATGCTGTGCATGCACCTATGCCCATGCTGTGCATGCACCTATGCCCATGCTGTGCATGCACCTATGCCCATGCTGTGCATGCACCTACGCCCATGCTGTGCATGCACCTATGCCCATGCTGTGCATGCACCTACGCCCATGCTGTGCATGCACCTATGCCCATGCTGTGCATGCACCTATGCCCATGCTGTGCATGCACCTATGCCCATGCTGTGCATGCACCTATGCCCATGCTGTGCATGCACCTATGCCCATGCTGTGCATGCACCTATGCCCATGCTGTGCATGCACCTATGCCCATGCTGTGCATGCACCTATGCCCATGCTGTGCATGCACCTATGCCCATGCTGTGCATGCACCTATGCCCATGCTGTGCATGCACCTATGCCCATGCTGTGCATGCACCTATGCCCATGCTGTGCATGCACCTATGCCCATGCTGTGCATGCACCTATGCCCATGCTGTGCATGCACCTATGCCCATGCTGTGCATGCACCTATGCCCATGCTGTGCATGCACCTATGCCCATGCTGTGCATGCACCTATGCCCATGCTGTGCATGCACCTATGCCCATGCTGTGCATGCACCTATGCCCATGCTGTGCATGCACCTATGCCCATGCTGTGCATGCACCTATGCCCATGCTGTGCATGCACCTATGCCCATGCTGTGCATGCACCTATGCCCATGCTGTGCATGCACCTATGCCCATGCTGTGCATGCACCTATGCCCATGCTGTGCATGCACCTATGCCCATGCTGTGCATGCACCTATGCCCATGCTGTGCATGCACCTATGCCCATGCTGTGCATGCACCTATGCCCATGCTGTGCATGCACCTATGCCCATGCTGTGCATGCACCTATGCCCATGCTGTGCATGCACCTATGCCCATGCTGTGCATGCACCTATGCCCATGCTGTGCATGCACCTATGCCCATGCTGTGCATGCACCTATGCCCATGCTGTGCATGCACCTATGCCCATGCTGTGCATGCACCTATGCCCATGCTGTGCATGCACCTATGCCCATGCTGTGCATGCACCTATGCCCATGCTGTGCATGCACCTATGCCCATGCTGTGCATGCACCTATGCCCATGCTGTGCATGCACCTATGCCCATGCTGTGCATGCACCTATGCCCATGCTGTGCATGCACCTATGCCCATGCTGTGCATGCACCTATGCCCATGCTGTGCATGCACCTATGCCCATGCTGTGCATGCACCTATGCCCATGCTGTGCATGCACCTATGCCCATGCTGTGCATGCACCTATGCCCATGCTGTGCATGCACCTATGCCCATGCTGTGCATGCACCTATGCCCATGCTGTGCATGCACCTATGCCCATGCTGTGCATGCACCTATGCCCATGCTGTGCATGCACCTATGCCCATGCTGTGCATGCACCTATGCCCATGCTGTGCATGCACCTATGCCCATGCTGTGCATGCACCTATGCCCATGCTGTGCATGCACCTATGCCCATGCTGTGCATGCACCTATGCCCATGCTGTGCATGCACCTATGCCCATGCTGTGCATGCACCTATGCCCATGCTGTGCATGCACCTATGCCCATGCTGTGCATGCACCTATGCCCATGCTGTGCATGCACCTATGCCCATGCTGTGCATGCACCTATGCCCATGCTGTGCATGCACCTATGCCCATGCTGTGCATGCACCTATGCCCATGCTGTGCATGCACCTATGCCCATGCTGTGCATGCACCTATGCCCATGCTGTGCATGCACCTATGCCCATGCTGTGCATGCACCTATGCCCATGCTGTGCATGCACCTATGCCCATGCTGTGCATGCACCTATGCCCATGCTGTGCATGCACCTATGCCCATGCTGTGCATGCACCTATGCCCATGCTGTGCATGCACCTATGCCCATGCTGTGCATGCACCTATGCCCATGCTGTGCATGCACCTATGCCCATGCTGTGCATGCACCTATGCCCATGCTGTGCATGCACCTATGCCCATGCTGTGCATGCACCTATGCCCATGCTGTGCATGCACCTATGCCCATGCTGTGCATGCACCTATGCCCATGCTGTGCATGCACCTATGCCCATGCTGTGCATGCACCTATGCCCATGCTGTGCATGCACCTATGCCCATGCTGTGCATGCACCTATGCCCATGCTGTGCATGCACCTATGCCCATGCTGTGCATGCACCTATGCCCATGCTGTGCATGCACC